GAAGATGGTGCTATTGTGGACCTAAGTGAAAGTGACGCTCAGTCGTGTCCAACTCTTTGGGACCCCATAGATTGTCCATGGAATTCTCCAGGGCAGAACACTGGAGTGGGTAGCCTTTCCCTTCTCCGGGAGATCTTTCCAACCCAGGGATCAAACCCAGGTCTCTCCCACACTGTAGGTGGACTCTTTACCAGTTGAGCCACAAGGGAAGACCATAAGTAGGCTACCCCAAAATATGCCTCAATGGCATATTGATTAATTTGAATTAAAATTACTTAAGAAACAGCCAATGCAAGAGGCCCACTCTCATCCTCCTTTCTGTCTCCCTAAAAGCAGGAAATAAATCTGCCATGAGAAAGGTACACCCCCACATCTGGAGGCAGAAGGACACTATCTCCAGAGATAGAAAATTCAGGCCGAGAAGCCTATATAAACATATTATAAATTACTTTCCCAAGCCCAGACTGTGTTAAATGTAATCAGTTGTAATTCTGGTTATGTAACCAAGTTTCTTTATTGATTATTTTGTAACCAGATGTTTAACCATGCCTTTTAAGTCTTGTAACTTATGGACAGTTATATTGTATTCTGATGCTGTTGCAAAAGTGCTTCATCTTCAAAATAATTCATAGGAAGACTATAGAAGCATTAACCACAGTTACTCATAAAAAGGATGGTTATGCAAGGATTCCAGCCCATAGGGACTTAACACAAGGAGTTGTTCTGCTCCTGGGGCCTGTAAAGAGGTATCCAGGGGTTTTTACTCCCTGATAGACAGGGTCAATATCCTGCTTAGCCTTGAAGCAGCTATAGGAGACACCGTCTGTCACCTCTCTGTTTCCCATACAATTATGGGAGTAAAATCTCTGAAGAGGGAATGAGACAAGGGAACAGGGTAGGGCAAAACCATTAAGAGATTGACACAACTATTGCGAATATGACAAAAACTGGTTAAAACCAATTAGGTCCAAGATGGCAGAAGAATGGACTTCTGTAGACCTTGAGCCTCCTCATACACTCACTGTAATGTATTAGCTAAACGACACACCACAGGCACCATGACAGTTCTGAGGCTGACCATAAAAGACCAAGAAGTGAGTGGTGGCCAAATTCCTGGAAATTTCCACTCCTTCCTCAAAATAGTTGGAATAATCCTTCCACTTATCAGCCTATGAAATTACTCACCCCATTAAAAACTAACCACCCTCCACACCTTGGGGCTTCTTGCTTTCTGAGGTGGCCACACTCAGAGTGTGGTGTCTCCTAGGGCCGCTCTCACCTTTTGAGAGCGATGTTGCTCTATCTCTGGAATGTGTATCTCTCTAAATATGCCTGCTTTCCCACTTAGAGCAGCCTTGCCTGCCCATTGGTATCCTTCACAAGTGTCCTGTATTAGTAAGTCTCCTCCTTGTCTAGAACTTCGGCTCTCACAGAATTCCTTCTGTGGTGTAACACAAAATCCCTGAGCTTTATTAAGTCCTGAGGACCAGGTGTGTGATTTCAGCTGCGAGATTGTGGGTTCAAGTCATCTTAAGTATGAGTGTGCTCGAGTCCCAAGATGAGGTGTGTGGTTTCAATTACATCCCCGAGGGAGCAACTAACTCCGATGGTGATCAAAACGTAACCCGCTTGGGACCATATCCCTGAGGTCTCGGGGTGCTCAAATGTGACCCCAGCCTGGAATGTACTCTTCTTGTCTCTCCTCCTTGCAATGCAAATTTTCTGGGCCAAACCCATCCCAGCCCTGAGAAACTCAATGGATCTGGAGCAGGTTATTAGCTATTTTGGCAATGGAAGGACCTAACAAGAATAAAATTGATCGTCAGTGCTTTCCAAAGGAAAGAATTCAGTGATAACATATTTAAGATCAATTAAAAATTAAATGGGGTAACTGGGGTTTTGTCATCCAAAATGGAGCTTGGTGGCCATTGTGGATGTGTTTTCAGACGTGTTCCTGCATCACTGAGAACTTGAATTTTCTGAGCTGTGTCACAGTCAAGGATACCAGCAGCCATTTTCAAAACAGTACTTGCAGCGGCTGCCAGCTGCAACCTTCTGGTCTCCAAGTCTTTCCCTGAAACTGTGCAGCTATTTTGGATACCAACTAACCTTGCTCAACAAACATATTCTTACTTCTTGCTGACTCCAATCCTACTTCTTGACAAACAACTTATGTAACTTTGTGGTTTTTACCTATATAAGCCTCCCCCTTTTTTTGTGGTAGTCTGATGTGAACACAATTTAAGTGTTTCTTGAATCTGTGTTTCCCAGGCTATGGGCCTCAGCTTGGCTTGAATAAAACGCTCTTCCATTCCTTAAAATAGATTGTTTATTGATTATTTGTGTTGACAATAGCATGAAGTAGAGGTAATGATTTGGATATCCCATTGATCCAGGACCACATATTGAAGAAACCTGAACTACATTAGTGACTTTGTCATACTCAAGTGACTGTGTAAGTGCAGCTATCTTTTCATGAGAGGAACTGGTCTATAAATTCTTTTTAATAACGTTCTTATTGATTTTTTAAAAGATAATGTTGTCCTTATAAAAAGCATTGCAAAATACTCCATGTTTTTCTAGTCTCTGGAAAAATTTATATAAGATTGGTGTTATTTTTTAAGTTTTTGGAAAAATCAGGAAAACACTTTGGGCTTGGAGCATTTTTTGTTGGTGGTTTTTAATTTGTTATTCCTTAATAGATATAAACTATTCATTTAAAAAAATTCCTTGTATCATTTTTGTTAAATAGTGTTTCTCCAGGAATTTATCAACTTTAGATTTTCAAATTTATTGGCATGAAAGTATTCATAACATCCTTTTATTAACTGTCTAATATCTGATGACAAAGTACCTGTGTCTTCTTTTTTATTCCTAGTAATGGTTGTCTGCTGCTGCTGCTTTTGTACTTATTTATTTTTTTCCTGATCAGCTTGGTTAAAGGTTTGTCAATACTACTAGTCTGCAAAAAGACTCAAATTTATCTTAATTTCTTTATTGTACTTTCTCTCATTTCTCTTTCTTTGGATATAATTGTTTTGCTTTTCACCTTCTTGCAATTGATACTTAGATAATTAATTTTCAATCTTTTGAAACTTAAACATCTTCTAATATGTGCATTTAATGTTATATATTTTCTTTTAAGTATGGGTCTATCTGCATCCTTCACATGGTATTTTTATGGTTATTCAGTTCAAAAATATTTTCTCATATCCATTTTTTTCCTAGTTTAATTGCTAGTTTAATCTGATTATTCAGAAGTAGTGCATTGCTTAAATTCTGAGCATTAAATGTTTGGGGATTTAAAAATTTTTTCTTTTTTTATTGATTCACTAATTATAATGTAAGAGAGCATACTTTTTATGATTTCGGTCTTTTTTTTTTTAAAGTATTTATTTATTTATTTATTTATGACTGCATCTGGTCTCCATTGACTTCCCTAGTGTCTCAGCAGTAAAGAATCCTGCAATGCAGGAGACGTGAGTTCGATTCTTGGGTCAGGAAGATCACCTGCAGAAGGAAATGGCAGCCCACTCCAGTATTCTTGCCTGGAAAATTCCATGGACAGAGGAGCCTGGTGGGCTACAGTCCATGGGGTTGCAAAGAGTCAGACGCAATAGAGCATGCACGGGGGTCTTGGTTGTGGCACAAGGCTTCTCTCCAGGTGCCGAGGCTGGATAGTTGTGTGGATTTATTACTGGGTGGCGTGTGGGATCTTAGTTCCTGACCAGGGATCAAACTGCTTCCCCTGCATTGGAAGGCAGATTCTTAACCACTAACCTGCAAATAATTTTATACTTAAGCCTGGGTATATGGTAGAGGAGTCATTATTTTTTTTTTATTTTTAGTTGAAGAATAATTATAATACTGTGTTGGTTTCTGCCATACATCAACATGGATCAACCATAGGTATACATATGTCTCCTTCCTATTGAGCCTCCCTCCCACCTTTAACCCCATCGCACCCCTCCAGGTTGTCACAGAAGAAGAGTCATTATTCAAAGTTATTCAAATTTATGGGTAAACTTCTCCCTCTGTTTTACAAATTTATTGGCAAGTTCTTTATTAGTAACTATGATTAGGTAGGTGAGAACATAACTGACTTAGGTGGACTAGGGCCAAGGATGTTATACCATTCTGTAAGGCTTGGGACAGTCCTTTAAAAGGATAAATTTTTACGTGTTTATTTGGATATTTATTTGGGAGATACAGCTGTTAATGGTTTTATGCTCTATGCGGACTCTCTTTCATGGGCCCTAAAATATTTTTGTATCCTTTAGATAGACACTGAATTGTCCATAAATAGCGTACAGAGGGAATACTGTTGTTTCTTTTTTAGTTGCGACCTATGGACTCTAGTTCCCTGACCAGGGATTGAACCTGAGCTCCCTGTATTGAGGGCAGGGAGTCTTAGTCACTGGACCACCAGGGAAGTGTCACACTCACCTATATTTTTTCAGCAGTACAACACATAGTCTGCATGTGTTGAAGAGGATTCTACAGATAAATGCAAGCATCTGATCATTTCTTTGATCTATGTTGCATAATGAAACAACACTTTGTTATACATCACCTTCTCTTTATTTCTTCTTTAAAGTTGGAGCTTTATTGTGCATTTGACTTAAAAATTATTTGCGTAGGCACATGATATTCCGTACAATTTTTAGCTCAAGGTAATATTTTATTTCAGGATTTTTGTTATAAAAAGAGGGCAGGAATCTGATCTGTCATAAACAACTTGGGTAGAATAACGATGTTCGATAAGACAAAACTCAAGCCTTTTTATTACTACTATTTGTTGTTGATATCATTTTAAAAAGCTATTATAGTTTGTGTATATAAAGTAGTTTTAGGCAGAAGAGCCAATTGCCTGCAGGTCAGGAACGTTTATATACTCCGCCTAGGCAGTTCAGGTTGAGATCCTGCCGGAACCTTGGCACCGCGGACGCCGATTTCCGGCGGGCTCCTTAGAGAACGGAACAGCCTCGGGCCGAAGGACCATGAGAGGTCCGGATCCGGGTCCCGAACCTACGATGGAGGGGGACGTGCTGGACACACTGGAGGCGCTGGGGTGAGTAGTCCTGGGATCGCCATTCCCCGGAAAACGTAAGCTGTCTCTCCCCATGGCTGCCGCAGTCTCCCTCATGTGGGCCTCCGGCTGGGCTCCTGCGGCTCGGTGCAGGCCTCCTTCCCTGCCTCGCTGCCTCCGGCGCCGACGGAGTTAAGAGGGAGGCGGGAGAGAAATCCGTTTGGGGGGTGGAGCAGGCCTGAAAAGCTAGGGCGCGTGGCCCCCTTTCCCGAACTCGATGTTTCGAAACTCAGCAACGGGGACCCACGGCGAAGGCGCGGAGGGGCCTGGCTGGCAGCACTCCTTTGGGAGAAAGTGTTGCTGCCCCGCGGGGGGTATTTTTGTGAGGCTTTGCAAGTCCAGAGTGCAGCTGTTGTCTCCGGGGCAAATCACTCCTCCTTCCTTGACCAGAGAAGGAGTTTTAATTCAGTGTGAATCCATTCATTAACCGTTTCTTCCATTCATTAACAACATATTAATTTGATGTTAACCTGTATTCACTAATGTGTATTTTATGTGCTAGGCCAACGAAAAAGTTTTCAGGTTACTAGTAGCTTAACTAGTCGAGGAATGTATAGTCTACTGGTGCTTGCAGTTCAGAGTGGTGAGTGCTGTGAAAGCTCCTGGAATGATGTTAATACTTAAAGGCATAGGAATAAATACTGCAAGATAGGTTCTTCCTCAGCCATAATCCTGTTTTTCTTCACAGCCCTTGTCCCTATTCCAGATTATCTTGTCCTGCACATTTGTTATTTTCTCTTGAACACCCACCCTCTCCACCTGCTAATACACACACACACAAATCAGCTCCAGGAGAACAGGTGTTTTACCTGTCTTGTTCCTCGGAACATCTTACAGTCAGGTCTGGTACAATAAATAGTGGTTGAATGAATGGGTAGATGAATGAAGAAAGGTTCAAGTCACAGAGTGCACAGAGGTAGGCATAGGGCCAGGCAGTTGAGAGTCAAATAAGGGAACTTGAAGTAGGCTGATACAGCTGGAGGGCAGAGAGCAAGGAGCAGTGTTGAAGACTGGATTGATGAGATTTAGGTGAGGAACAGGGCTTGCAGCACCTTTTAGGCCATGTTGTGGATTTTGTTCTTTGTCGTAACAGAAGTGCAACATGATTAATGAATTTAAAAAGGGGAGTGTTTAGATGTCTAGTTTAAAAAGTTAGTTCTGTCAGCATGGTAGAGAATAGATTGAAGAATTTTTTAGTAGTCTAGGCAAGTGATGGTTGCTTAGTGGCGGTGGATATAGAAAGATGTACATTACTGGTCTTGGGCTTCCCAGGTGGCACTGTGGTAAAGAATCTGCCTGAATGCTGGAAACACAGGTTTGATCCCTGGATTGGGAAAATCCCTTGAAGTAGGAAATGACAACCTATTCCAGTATGCTTGCCTGGAAAGTTTCATGGGCAGAGGAGCCAGATAGGCTCCAATCTTTGGAGTTGCAAAGAGTCTGCACCTGCACCCATTACTGGTCTTAGTGATTGATTGGGTTAGATATTAGAGCTGAAGGAGATGATGATATTGATGATTTGTTGATAAGTATTTATTGAGCAATAAAATAAAATGATATACTTTGGAACTTCAGTTGGACAAGGAAGAAAGTGAAGATAGCCAGGAGCTAGTAAATACAGAAGAAGCATAGAAACAGGTACAGATGGAATCAAGTGTGGTCAGAAGGGCAAGTTGGAAGGTAGAATAAGTAGGCTGTGGTCAGGGAGTGACTTGTTCAGATTAGTGATTTCGGATGTGATGTAGTTCCAAGTGATGGTGTGGCTTACTTATGTGTAGTGGCAAAGGTTGGAAAAGAGGCTGAGAACTCAGGGTATTGGAAAGGGTATAGATGTGGATTTTGAAGACACTCAGTATCCTTAAAAAAAATAGGAATGGAGAGGAAACTGAGCACAGCGAATGTTGATGAGTATTCAAGAGATTGATCAATGAAAACCATGAGAGAAAGAGGGTGGCACATCTGACAGGCCTGAGCCTAGAGAGAGCAGGAGATATTCATGAGAAAATGGGGTCAATCAGAAAATAGGCAGAAGATCTAAGTAGACATTTCTCCAGAGAAGACATACACATGACCAAAAAGTACATGAAAAAATGCTCAACATTGTTAATTATTGGAGAAATGTAAAAGCTACAATGAAGTGTCACCTCACACTGGTCAGAATGGCCATCTTGAAAACATCTACAAGTAATAAATGCTGGAGAGGATGTGGAGAAAAGGGAACCCTCCTATACTGTTGGTAGGAATGTAAATTGTTAAAACCATTATGGAGAACAGTGTGGAGGTTCCTTAAAAAATAGAACTTCCATGTGATCCTGCATTTCCACTCCTGGGTGTACATCTGGAGAAAACCAGAATTTGAAAAGATATATGCATTGCAGTGTTCATTGCAGCTCTATTTATAATAGCCATGATAGGGAAGCAACCTAAATGTCCATTGACAGAGGAAATAGATAAACATGTGGTGTATTTATACAGTGGAATATTACTCAGCCATAAAAGACTGAAATAATGCCATTTACACAACATGGATGGACGTAGAAGTTAAGTGAAATAAGCCAGTCAATGATAAATATCATACAGTATTGCTCATATGTGCAATCATATAAGTGATACAAAAATGAACTGTCATACAAAACAGAAATAGACCCACAGGATGTAGAAAACAAATGTATGGTTGCCAAAGTGGGAGGATGTTGGGGGGAGAGATAAAATAAGAATTATATACATAAAATAAACAGGGACCTACTGTGTAGCACACGTACCTAGACTCAGTATTTTATAAAAATCTATATGGGAAAAGAATCTGAATAGAAAGATATGTTTGTACATATACCTGAATCACTTTGTTGTACATCTAAAACTAGCACAACATTGTAAAACAACTTTTCAATTTAAAAAAAGATAATAGGGAGCAGTGAGTGATATGAATGCTGTATTGGGAAGCAAGGAGAACAAAAACCCCACCGTTTGACCTTTGGGCACTTATGAGAGAAATACCCAAGGCTTAGAGTAGTGGGGATAAATCTTTCTGAGAAGACACTGACAGAATAGGAGAGTTATTGTTTATGGATGGAACATAGAGGAAGAGTTTGGGAAGTAGAAAGAAGTGGAGAGCTGAATCAGAGACAAGCCAGTAGGGTGAGTAAATGACAGGGGGGGAAAAGGGTCTCGTATTTTATATGTTGGCTTATGAAAATAGAAAAAAGAAAGTAATATAGACCTTCACTATGTCCTTTTGAAGATCTGCCAGTGGCCCTACTGGACTGAATTTGGTTCACCCAGCTTAAAGCAGTGTCAGATCAGCAACTGTGGTTCCACTGTGTATGGCCCTGGGGGAGTCTAGGCCTAGGGGAGTTGTCTCCAGTGTTTGGAATTAGAGTGGCACTTTTCTAATTGAACAATTGATAGAACAAACTGGGTGTGATAATACGTCTCTTATAGGATATTATAATTAAATGTGTTAATATACATATAGCATGTAGCACTGGGCTAAGATTAGTTTATAAATGTTAGTTGCTATTATGATTATGATTGTTATTAACTATTCATGTTACATGCATTCATTTTTCTTTTTTACTTTTGTCTGTTTTGATGAGCTGAGGCATTAAGGATTGTATATTCAAGATTTAGTATTTTTGGTGATTTAGTAAATTTTTGTTGAATTTTACAATAGGCATTTCAGTAAAAATAACATCACCAATAATATAGTTAAAGTTTTTTTGAGAGCTCATGATTGTTGCTTTATTGCAGAAATGAAAGCAAGTAGGGAGAAACAAGATGTTTACTATGAAATCTGAATGAGAGGCTCTGTAAGTCATGGTAGAAAGGTAATACCAGGGGAACCAGTCTTGGTTAGAGGCACAGACATGGTCTAGTCCTAGCCGACTGCATTACCTGGCCAGGTTATTTATTTTGTTTCCTTTTTAGTGTGGACAGAAGTTTGAGTTCACCTGGAGCATTTTGGGTCAAATCTGGTTTTGAAACAATGTCATCACTTGTTTATCTTCTGATATTACCTTCTGTAGTATAATGTTAGTTGCTCAGTTGTGTCTGACTTTGCAACCCCATGGATTGTAGCCCGCCAGGCTCCTCTGTCCATGGGATCCTGCAGGCAAGAATACTGGAGTGGGTTGCCGTTTCCTTCTTCAGAGGATCTTTCCGACCCAGGGAGTAAACCCACGTCTCTTAGGTCTGCTTCCTTGACAGGCAGGTTCTTCACCACTAGCGCCACCTGGGAAGCCAGAATTAACATGATATTAACTTAAATGCATTACTGTAAAGAGTGGATGATTGTAATATTCCTCTGGCCTGCTGCATAAGGCAGATATGCTAACCTCATTAAGCCTACTTTCTTATCTGCAAAATGGGGACTTAAAAAAAACCCTTCCTAAGATATGACCAGAGAATTTAGAGAAAAAGAAATGCAAATGGCCTTTAAACATGTGAAAAGGGTACAGTCTTGCCATAAGAGAAATGTAAATTAAAACTATATTGAGATAACCATATGGTCAAAAATCCAAATGTTTGGCATCTTTGGTGAGTTATGGGTAAAGGATACTTTTGTATTTTAATTGCATAATCCTTGTATAGGAAAACTTTGTAGTATCCAGCAAAGTTACATATCCATTTACCCTTTGATCTAACAACTGCACCTCTAGGAATCTATCCCATATATACACTGACAAAAATTTTCCCAGTTTTTTTTCTTTGCCCAATTTTTGATAATAGCAGAGCACTACAAAAAAACAAACTATCCTTCAGTGGGGGATAGCAAATAAGATACGGTACATCCAGACAGTGGAGTACTATACAACCATACATATGATTGAATAATGTTTCTGATTTCTAATATATACGTGCACACACATATCTATATGTATATATTAAAAGAACAGAACAGTAGATAGTAGGCTGCCTTTTATCTAAGCAAGTACATATTTGTGTGTGTGCGCACATGGATGGACTGCCCAGGTGGCGTAGTGAAAGAATCCACCTGCCAATGCAGGATCCGCAGGAGATGTGTCTTTGATCCCTGAGTTGGGAAGGTCCCCTGGAGAAGGAAATGGTCACCTTCTCCAGTATTCTTGTCTGGAAATCCCATGGACAGAAGAGCCTGGTGGGTTACAGCCCAAGGGGTAGCAAAGAGTAAGATACAACTGCATGACTAAGCACTCACGTGTGTGTGTGTGTGTGTGTGTGTGTGCACGCATGCATGTGTATATGTATTTAAAAACATGGTTTGACACCCCCAAATTAATACATATGGTTTCCTGTGAGGAAGGGGGGAACCAGAGCAGAGGGAACAGCATTAAGATTACAAGCTAGATTTGTCTGAATGTACCATGTGTTGTTTTTGACCTTGAAACCATAAAAATGTTTTACATAATGATAAAACAAACCTAGAATGAAATAAAAAAAATGTTTCAATATATTGTGTAGGATTTAATCACATGGAAAGAAATTGTTTTTCTAGACATCCTTACTGGAATGGATTCTAGAAATAAGAATATAAATTGTTTTCAGTAATTTTATTAGTAATACTGTTTTTTCTATTCTGAAACTATGTAATTTATATTTATTTTTATATTTGTTGTTGTTTAGTCACTGAGTTGTGTCTGACTCTTTGAGACCCTCTTGAACTGTAGTCCACTAGCTCCTTTGTCCGTAGCATTTTTCAGGCAACAATACTGGAGTGGGTTGCCATACTAGGATTCTATAAATGTCGTAAGAAACCAGAATTTTCATTGTAAGAGAAAAATAGATTAAAATGTAAAGCAAAATAGGTAAAAACTCTATAATTCTAAATCTGAATTGAAGACAGCAGTGTGAACTCCTGATGTAATTTCTCTTAAAAAGGTACAGTTGTTGTGACTAATCTTTACTGCCAGATTATGTACTCAAAATAAATACCATTGAAGAGAATCAGGGCTTCTTGGAGAAATGGCTGGTTGCAGGTAGAAGGCAAGAACATACTGTCATAGAAAGCAAGAAAAATATTCAAAGAATTCTGGGAACCAGCCAGAGAACTCATTGACTAACATGAATGGGCTCCCACTAATCAGAGATAGGACAGTTTGAGAATCAAATGAAAAATAACTGTGGTGGGTTAAAACCCAGCATATGTGCTAAAACTTACAAGTTTGTAATGTGGGGGAAAAAAGCTCAGATACACTAAGAACAATAAAAGAAAACTAATATCAAATTCAATTAAGATAATATGTCAAAGTGGTTTGAAAATTTAAGGTTCTCTTCAGATACACTTTGTACCAGTGTTTAAAAGTATAAACTTATAAAAGAAATGGTTAAGAGTAAAATAATTTTATATGTCTTTTTCAGCTTTAAATTTTTAAATTTAAAATTTGCATCCATTCTCCTTTAACTGTGTTACTTTTTTCTTATTCCTGTAACTTAGTATAGTTATTATTCTGTTTGACTTTGTTATATGTAATAATATTTATCTTAAAATAGGTTGATAATTTTACTAAAAAACTTTAAAACAAAAAAATCAAATGTTAATTATGTAGAGCAGAAATCAGTAAACTATTTTTATAACAGACCAGATAGTAAAAATTTTAGGTTTTGCTGGCAGTGCTTTCTCTGTCACAAATATAGGGAAACAGTCAGATACATGGATACGTTTATTGTCTGTGTTCCAATAATATTTTATTTACAAAGACAGGCAACAGACTTTGATTAAAAAGTATTACATGTATTAGGGTTTTCCTTATTGTTTTAATCTTTTATATTTTCCTTTTTAGGTATAAGGGACCACTGTTGGAAGAGCAAGCACTTACAAAGGCAGCAGAGAGTGGACTGTCTTCACCTGAATTTTCAGAGCTCTGTGTTTGGTTAAGCTCTCAAATAAAATCACTGTGCAACTTGGAAGAAAGTATCACTTCAGCTGGTATTGCCATTTAGTTTTGTTTACTTTTCTGTTTACTAGTAAAATGAAATGATAGGTTATGATTTACAGTTTTATCTTTAATGTGCTCACTGTACAAAGAAAAGTCATCAGAACAAAGAACTTCAAAAAAAGAAACTTCAGTATGTGATTAAATATCTTTCAGTTTAATTTTATATTGATTGACCCAAAATTATTTCTTAAGTTTATACAAAATTATAAATAATTATTGTTTATTTGCTGTCTTGAACGTAGTATTGAATTTGGTTATTAAAAAGTTTAGTTTTTGAATGCTTCTTTTTTGGAATTAAGGTTTTTTTTTCCCCCTAAAGTATATGTAATCCCTAATTTAAGTTATGTTACCAAACCTATAACTCAGGACATGGATTCACATAGGAATACATCTGTAAAAAATTCCTCTGTTAGTTTGTAAGTTTTGTTTAATTCATTACTGTTGGTAGCTGGAATTCTTGTGGGTCTTTGGTAGAAGATAAAAATTTGTTGGGCATTTGCTAGAAGATAAAGTAGCATTCCCTTCTGATGCTATTCTTACTTTTAAAATTGTTTTTTTTTCTTGCCAAATCTAATAGAATTCACCTGAAGTAAAGTAAAATAAGCTGAATTCAGAACTTACAACACAAGTTCCCACATAATTTGATTATGAAAGAAGGATAAGTGCTGAGGTTTAATTAGATGATTGTATTTATTATCTGAATCCATAGAAATACGATAGAAATGGTTCATTTGCTCTGAAGCCAATTAATAACTATAGACATAATAATGCTGTAATATTTCAGTTACTAACATAAAATATTTCCATTTTATCTGCTTTTATGGAAAGCCCTTTGGAAGATATTTATCAGAGATTTAAATATAAAAAGATTTAGAATTTCATGAATAGATACTTATGTTCTTGAATTTAAGTGGTTTAAGTGTTACTTTCTATATGTAGAAATAATGTTTTGATTACTTTAACCTAAGCTTACCTAATATGTTACTTTTGCTCACACATTTAAGGATTTAATGTCAAAGTGAAAATTTAGAATTGATATGAAATTAAAATCAGCTAGTAGATTTGATAGTATCAGATTATATGGTAAATATTTAGTAAATGTTTTATGCCTCTTCTTTTTTAAAGGGAGAGATGATCTAGAAAGCTTCCAGCTTGAAATAAGTGGCTTTTTAAAAGAAATGGCATGTCCATATTCTGTACTCATCTCTGGAGATATTAAAGACCGCTTAAAAAAGAAGGATGACTGTTTGAAACTATTATGTAAGTTATATTTCTCTGAACAGTTTAAATGCCTGTGTTTGATCTGGTTTGTGTTATTTTCAAGTCAACATTTATGAACTTTAATTAATGAAGCATTAGACATTTTGTGTATTAGAAAGGTTTTAATACTTGGCTTAAAATGTGAAACTGACTCAGATATTTGTATAAATGTAGGATAAATTCTACTAATGTACTCTCTAAGATTTCCATAACACTTGTGATTTATTTGGCCAGTATAGATTACTCTGTGATTATGACTAGTACTTTAGCAGTTTTTCCTTCACCTAATTCATCCCTTGACATTTATGACTAACTGGGTAAAGTGGTGATCTCCAAAGTCCTGTTTAATGTTAAAACTCTGAAATTAGGCTGCTAAGCAAATTATTAGATGATAGGCACTTAAAGATAGTTCATAAAATTTATTGATCACTTTTTATTGTATTAGAAACTGCTCTAAGCATTAGGGATATATCAGTTTAAAAGAAAATTATGCCCTTGTGCCACTTGAATTCTAGTGCATGTAGCCTGTTTTTCATCAGGGATGAATTTGGAGTACAGATTACCCTATATCTAAACAGTTACCTAAAATAATAGATGCAGTTGTTTATATTGGGTCCCTTAAATTTTTTTTAAATTTAGTTAGTTTAATTTCATGCTATTTTGAATGTTCTACAAACTGATCTCTTGAAAGAATTTCTCTAGCATCTTCTATTATTGAAGATTTCTATTATTTTAGATTGTACCATTTATAAAAAGATGCATATGATCTATTCCTTTATGCTCTAGTGTTAAGATATTGGTTTCATTAGAGCAGAAATCATGTTTATGTGTTTAGTGGTGATGATCAAAATGTTGACAGTTGAATTATCTTGTGTGTTGGGGAGAATAACCATTATGTGCCTCCATTTCTCACACTCTTTCCTTGTCTTCCTCCCATTCAGTGTGAGTCACTGATTTAAATGGGAAGGCACAATAATACATAAGGCACAATAACAATTTAATTGTTAAATGGGAAGGCACAATAACCCATAAGTGTATTGGGACAAAAGGAAGCTAAGAAGCACTAGCCATGAGGAACTTGCATACTGTTTATATTAGTCAATGAGAACTATGTAAATCACGTTTCCGCTTTCACCTTTGGTTTTAAGAAGCTCAGCAATAACAGTACTGTCTGTCAGTTTCTGATCCAAGTAAAAGTATAGAGGAACTATAAGAGAGTTTGGTATAGTTTTTTTTTCTGATTATAAAAATACGTGCTTGAGAGGTAGGGTGAAATGGAGAGTTAGTGTAGGGAGAATTAGTGTAAATGAGTACAGAGTTTCAGTTAAGCAAAATGAAAGTTCTGGAGATGGATGGTGGTGATGGTTATACAACTATGTGAATGTACTTAATGCCACTCTGTACTTAGAAACAAAACAGTAAATTTAATGTTACTTGTTGGAAAATTATATTCTCATCATAGGAATATTACAAAGTAAATAAATATGTAAAGAAAATAATTTATCATTTCACTCCCCAGAGAGAGTCCTGAATAACTTTTCAGTGTATTTCCTTTTCCTTCTTTTTCCTTTGTACACACATGTTTAAATAAGATTGAGATGTTACATGTCTAATTCTTGCTGTTCCTCTTCTTCACTTAATATATGTATTTTCCCATCACTTAGTATTTTTTGAAAAAATAATTTAAATTGGCTACATAGCTTTCTATACTATGGACATTTTTATTTAATAGATTTCAAATTTAGAGGTATTTGGATTTTTTATATTTTAAGTTAATTACTTTGTTCGTATTTTTGGTTGCTTTTACTTAGACACAGATTATGAAAAAAGATTATTTAAAAAAAAAAATCTCTCCGGATATTGCCATATTTTGTTCCAGAAAGGTTATAACCTTCTAGCAATCTTACCAGCATCTATTTCATCTTTAATTTTACTACCTTTAAAACATGCTGCTTTAATAAATGTCATGTTCTTAGAATTGTTGGCATTGTGTGTACAACTAAAAGGGCCAAATTCCTTCCTATGTGAAGAGCTTTTATAAAGATTAAAAACTCATTGGGAAAATATGTACAGTACATAAGGCATGAAATGGCATCCTATACAAAAAAGTTTTTAAAAATTTGCTTCTAAACATTTAAAGATGCATGAAGTTAGAGCTGCAAAAACAAGAAGTCATTTTTCACTTACCAGGCTAGCAAATACCAGGAAAAGAAAGTCGTAAGTAAGCATTCTCATATGCTACTTACAGGTATTGAAATGTGGTGGGTGAATAATTGGGACCATCTTTTGGAAAGGCAAATTATCAGCAACACAGGTAAAATTCACCTGTTTTTTGAATTGGCAATTCAATGACTAGGAGTTCATATTGAGTGTACAAAGATACATGAAAAGAATGTTCATTATGGCATTGTTTACAGTTGTTAAATAGAAATGGTGCATCTTTGCAGTGATACCATGATCAGTTCAGTTCAGTCGCTCAGTCGTGTCCAGCTCTTTGCGACCCCATGGACTGCAGTATGCCAGGCCTCCCTGTCCATCACCAACTCCCAGAGTTTACTCAAACTCATGTCCATCAAGTTGCTGATGCCATCCAACCATCTCATCCTCTGTCGTTTCCTTCTCCTCCCACCTTCAGTCTTTCAAAGCATCAGGATCTTTTCCAGTGAGTCAGTTCTTCACATCAGGTGGCCAAAGTATTATAGCTTCAGCTTCAACATCAGTCCTTCGAATGAATATTCAGGACTGATTTCCTTTAAGATAGACTGGTTGAATCTCCTTGCAGTCCAAGGGACTCTCAAGAGTCTTCTCCACCACCACAGTTCAAAAGCATCAATTCTTCGGTGCTCAGCTTTCTTTATAGTCCAACTCTCACATCCATACATGACTACTGGAAAAACCATAGCCTTGACTAGATGGACCTTTGTTGGCAAAGTAATGTCTCTGCTTTTTAATATGCTGTCTAGGTTGGTCATAACTTTCCTTCCAAGGAGTAAGTGTCTTAATTTCATGGCTGCAGTCACTATCTGCAGTGATTTTGGAGCCCCCAAAAAATAAAGTCAGCCACTGTTTCCCCATCTATTTGCCATGAAGTGATGGGACCAGATGCCATGATCTTAGTTTTCTGAATGTTGAGCTTTAAACCAACTTTTTCACTTTATTTAAGAGGCTCTTTAGTTCTTCTTCACTTTCTGCCATAAGGGTGGTGTCATCCCACCCTTGATACCATGATAGAGCCTTTAGAATGAGAGTAGATCAGATTTGTAAATATGGAATGATCTCTAGAATATATTGGTAGATAAAAAATACACAGAACATGTATAGTATACTCTTGTTTCTATAATAGAAATAAAAGTGTATAGATGGTAGAAATGTATACTAAATATATATATATATATATATATATATATGCCTTAAAAGATACCCAGAAACTAACATTGGTGATTGCTTTGGGGTGGGGAATCTGAGAATCTGTATGGGAAGAAGACATCACAGTATTATTATCCATCTATCTGCATGGATTAGCATTTTAAATACTAGACTGAACTCTTGTTTGTACTCTTATGTACAACATGTTTCTGTAGAACAAAGACAGACTTCAGCCATGGTTCTCTGTAAAATATAAATTTTTGAAGAATGGTGATCTGTTTTAACGAAGTTTTAAAATCAAAGGGACCTTGACATAGTCGTCATAAGCAAAGTTTGATACATATTGGTCTTAACTTTTTGTGGATTCCTCAGACTATCATGTGTAGATTACATGGGAAAACCTTAAATGTGGCTCTCAATCCTGTCCATGAGAGTCACCTTGGGTCTAAAACCACTTAGATTCCCAAATCATACTTCAGATGTTCTGGTTCAGAATCTCTAAGGGTGGAACCCTTGTACTTGTACTTTTAAACAGTTTCTCAGGCATCTTTTCCTGTTCAACTGAAGTTGAAACTATTGTATTAAATTGTGTATAAACTTAACTAAAATGAAAACAAATGAACCCCCAGTATCTGTCTTTACTGTTGTGAAAGTTAATTTAAAAAAGACTAATGATTTAAGTTAATTTTTTGCTTTCCAAAATGATGTGGGTTTTTTTTTTTTTTTACTATTTTTTAAATTGAAATATAGTTCATATAAATATTATGTTAGTTTCATGTGTACCACATAGTATTTTGACCTTTGCATATATTGTGAGATGGTCACTGTGGTAAGTCTAGTAACCATCTGTTTCCATAAAAAGTTACTCAATATTATTGACCGTATGCTTTATATTGCATTTTATTACATCCCCGAGGCTTATTTCTTTTCTAACCAGAGGTTTGTGCCTTTACTTGTTAGACCCCCACCTCCACACCCCTGCTTTCTGTCTGCTGCCTTTTACTTCTCAGTATTTGAGAATCTGTTATCATTTTGTTTTATTTTTTCCATCTAATATTTTTGAGTAATTTTTAGAAAGATGACTGTTAAAAGGATGACATGGTGACTGTGAAAGGACTTGTGAACAATCTGGAGTGGTCTTCCTAAAGGCAGTTTTACAGATTGTTCTATCTGCTTATAGGTCAGTTAAAATTATACATTCTCCCTTGGCTTGAGCTCTGCATATCAGAGAGAGTAATTTTTCAGCTTTATACATTCTTGAAGATTTTAATGTTGTTCTTTTATTGATGGGTCCCTCCTATTAGACTTTACTCTGAGTAGGCACTATTTTTTAAGTTTCCTTCTGCCCTCTTTATTAATAATTTCTTTTTGTGATAAGAATACTCAATGTAAGATTTACCCTCTTAGCAAATCTTTTAAGTATACAACACAGTATTGTTAACTGTAAACACAATAAAACTGTTAACTGAATATAATACAGTATTGTTACGCTGTAAAGTAGATCTCTAGGACTTATTCATCTTACATAACTAATATATGTCACTTTGCTTATGAGGACTGTGCCAAGATCCCTCTGATTTTGAAACTTCAATAAAAATGGATCTCCAGTTCTTCAGAAATTTATATTTAACAGATATCCTACTTCTTCCCTAGATTGGTGACCACCATTCTACTTTCTGTGTTAGCAATTTTAAATTCCTCATAAAGATGGCATCATTAGTATTTGTCTTTCTGCATCTGGCTTGTCTCACTTTGTATTTTCCAGGTTCATCTATGTTGTCACAAATGACTGGATTTCCTTCTTTTTAAAGCTGGGTAATATTCCATTGTATACATATACCACATTTTCTTTATCCATTCATCTGTTGAAGGACACTTAAGTTGTTTCCATATCTTGGCTATTATGAACAATACAGCAGTGAATATGGTAGTGAAGATCTCTTTGAGATCCTCACTTCAGCTCCTTATGTACATGTATACCCACAAGTGGGATTTTTAAAACATTCTTGTGCATTGTAACATTATTTGTTTTTCCCTTTTTTTTTTATTATAGTATTTTTAAGTACAGAGCTTCAAGCTTTACAGATACTACAGAACAAGAAGTGTAAAAATTCTGAATTAGATAAAAATAGTGAAATTTATCAGGAAGTTCAGGCTATCTGCGATATCCTTGGGATTCCCAAGTCAACAACTTCTGACATTCCGCTTATGCTAAACCAAGTGGAATCAAAGGTATTGTATTTGTTTTATTTTTTATTTCCCCCAAATTCAATTAAATGCAAACATGTAAACTCTGGGAGATGGTCAGGGACAGGGAGGCTGGCATGCTGTAGTCCACGGTGTCACAAAGAGTCAGACATGGCTTGGTGACTGAACAGCAATAGCAAGTTATTAAATTTTATTTATTTATTTTTGGCTGTGCTGGGTCTTCATTGCTGCGCAGGCTTTTCTTTGGTTTTGGAGAGCATGGGTTTTTCCCTAGCTGTGGCATGCAGCCTTCTCATTGTGGCGGCTTCTCATGGAGCGTGGGCTCTAGGGTGCATGGGATCTTTGTGGATCAGGGATCAAACCTGTGTCTCCTGCATTGACAGGCAAATTATTTACCTCTAAGCCACCAGGAGAGCTCCTGTAAATGTATTATGGATGAAGATACAGTTGACCCTTCAGTACTGTGTGAGTTAGGGGTGCTCATCCTCTCTGGAGTCAGTAATTAACATACAACTTCACAATTGGTCTCTGTATCTTCAGTTGGTATTTGTAAATTCAACCGCCTGTAGATCAGATGGTACTGTAATTGTATTTAGTGAAAAAAATTCACGTACAGGTGAACCAGCACAATTCAAACTCATGTTATTTAAGAATCAGCTGTGTTTTCTTTAAATACAAGATATACATTCTAATTAGAGAGACACTTATCTTCGTGTAAAGCTAAATTTTTCACGTAAAACTAAATAGTATGCTTTTGACCTTATTTCCCTATTACTAGTATTCAGGAGGGAGAAGGCAATGGCACCCCACTCCAGTACTCTTGCCTGGAAAATCCCACGGATGGAGGAGCCTGGTGGGCTGCAGTCCATGGGGTCGCACAGAGTCGGACACGACTGAAGCGACTTAGCAGCAGCAGCAGCAGCAGTATTCAGGAATCAGATCTTAATGAGGAAGTGCTAGGCTTTATGAAAGTTTGCTGTTTGCCCTGATAGAAATCTTCCTGCAAATTTAAGGATCTGGTTTCTAAACAAGGTTGAATTACAGTATAATGAAAGAAGTAGAGTTTTCCGTTAAAAGCAAACTAAATTTCTTTTTAATGGATGCTGTTAATAAAATTTCAGTGTGATTGTCTTTGGCAGTGAGCAAAAAAATCTGCAATTTCTGATGGATAAGTGTTTAGGAAATGTTTGTTGTATAGTTAATAAATGAATGAGTACCTTGATGGAGTAATTAAGAACAACTGATTAACAAGTAATTAACAACAAAACTATATCTCTAGCTTTTGAATTTTTTTTCAATTATAAAACTATCCTCATTCCCAGTCAAGGCATAAGTTAGAATACTGCTCTTGCAGACCAAATTCTAGCCTAATTTCTAGGTTTTGTAGGAGTTCTCTAAGAGAATAATACAGGATTCATTTTTCAAGGAAAAGAAAATTTTCACTCTCAAGAATAGGTACTAAAACTCTTGTTTTTAGACTTGCTGTTTTAGATTATATTCTTGAATAAAGTACTCTTTTGCACTGATAATTTATTTGCTGAAAACAAGATTTGTCTTAATGAATGTAAGAGAGTTTTAGTATCATTAAGATAAAAACACAGTATTAAAAAGTTTTGTTTTGTTTTCTTTTAGAACTGGCAAACCAAAAAATAAGCCTATGAATCCCAGCTCAAGAATATTGTTCTGTAGTTCATAAATTGCTCTTCAGAATTTATTTCTCTGGATTAAGAATTATCTGGGGTTGCTGAATACCTGGGGCTGTTTCAGATTGAGACAGATTTCTAGACTCTTCCTAATCTTCCAGTGCGTCCACATACTGATCCAAAAGATATAATTGAAGTGCCATAAAATATGCCCGTTTAAGGTGTACAATTCAATGGATTTTGTTTGTTTAGAGTACATCATCTGCAAAATCTAATTAGAATATTTCCATCATTCTCAAAAGAAGCCATGTACCCACCATTTACAGCCACTTTGCATTACCACCACCAATTTCCAAGCTAATTTTGTATTCATAATTTTTAATTCTTTTTGAAAAGAGATCCCCCAACATTAAGCTTCATACTCCTCAAATGTGACCTCTTCCTATTTTCTCTTATTATATTATAAACTAAGCAACTGTATATATTTCATCCTGTTTGAATGACTTTTCTGATATTGCTAAAGCAAAAACAAATGTCTAAATCTTGTTCACCAAAAATGTTTCAATTCAAATCAGTGGCTTTGCAAAAGTGATGAAATGTGCTATAATGGTGACTAATTGAGGGCTTACTCTCCTTCATTGTCTTGCTGAACAATGGAATGTGTACACAATACTTAACTGAGTAAAAACAACATACTCAAGGCGTCCCTGGGGGCTCAGACAGTAAAGAATGCCTGCAGTGCAGGAGACCAGGGTTCGATCCCTGGGTCGGGAAGATCCCCTGGAGAAGAGAATGGTAGGTAGCCCACTCCAGTATTCTTGCCTGGAGAATCCCATGGACAGAGGAGCCTGGTGGGCTGTAGTCCATGGGGTTGGAGAGAGTCAGACATGACTGAGTGACTAACATACATGCAACCTACTCAGCAAAGGTTTTAGTTTTGTTTTTTTGTTTTTCTTTTGTGAGGATGTAAGAGTGTGCTGTCCTAAGAATCTGAATTTATTTCACATAAAACTTAGATTCTCATAAGTCTTTTAGTAGTTACTTCAGTTGTCCATGTACATTATTTCTTACTCTGGAAAAGGTGTGCTATAGCTTGGATTAATGTAACTTGCTTCCTTGAGGATAACTCTGCATTGTAGTGGTATTCTTTCTTAGTATGTGAAGGTATGTTTTAATGATTTCTTAACATTTGATTCTCGGGCATTCACAACATTTTAGGCACGAATAAGATTGTTTTAAATAGGGGATATACATTTTCACAATCTTCTATGTTTAATTTTAGGTGAAAGATACTCTCTCAAAAGTCCAGAAAAATCATGTGGGAAAACCACTGCTGAAAATTGATTTAAATCTGGAACAGGCGGTAAACCATTCCCTCCTTTTTCATTAGTTTTGTGTATATAGCTTAATTTTATGAATGGACATTAGATTTTTACATGCTTTTTAAAAAATTATATATATTTGCTTTCAAGAAATCCATTTATTTATTTTAATTGGAGGCTAATAACAATATTGTGGTGGCTTTTGCTGTACATCGACATGAATCAGCCACACGTGCACATGTGTCCCCCCATCCTGAACCCCCTCCCCACTTCCCTCCCCACCCCCTCCCTCTGGGTTGTCCCAGAACACCGGCTTTGAGTGCCCTGCTTCATGCATCGAACTGGCGTTGGTCATCTGTTTTACATATGGTAATATACATGTTTCAATGCTTTTCTCTCAAATCATCCTGCCCTCGCCTTTTCCCATATAGTGCAAAAGTCTGTTCTTTACATCTGTATCTCTTGCTGTCTTGTCAGTTCAGTTCAGTTGCTCAGTTGTGTCCAACTCTTTGTGACCCTATGAACTGCAACACGCCAGGCCTCCCTGTCCATCACCAGCTCCTGGAGCCTACCCAAACTCATGCCCATTGAGTCGGTGATGCCATCCAACCATTTCATCCTCTGTCGTCTCCTTCTCCTCCTGCCCCCAATCTTTTCCAGCATCAGGGTCTTTTCCAGTGAGTCAGCTCTTCGCATCAGGTGGCCAAAGTATTGGAGTTTCAGCTTCAACATCAGTCCTTCCAATGAACACCCAGGACTGATCTCCTTTAGGATGGACTGGTTGGATCTCCTTGCAGTCCAAGGGACTCTCAAGAGTCTTCTCCAACACCACATTTCAAAAGCATCAATTATTTGGCTCTCAGCTTTCTTTATAGTCCAACTCACATTCATCCTTGACTACTGGAAAAAACATAGCCTTGACTAGACAGACCTTTGTTGGCAAAGTAATTTCTCTGCTTTTTAATATGCTGTCTAGGTTGGTCATAACTTTCCTTCTAAAGAGTAAGCGTCTTTTAATTTCATGGCTGCAATCACCATCTGCAGTGATTTTGGAGCCCCAAAAAATAAAGTCAGCCACTGTTTGCTCATCTATTTGCGATGAAGTGATGGGACTGGATGCCATGATCTTAGTGCCGTCTTGTAGATTTTTTATATTGGAGAATTAAAATGGATTGATCTTCTAGAGCAGTAGGTCCTAACATTTCTTCATTCAGATTATTAATTTAAAAAAATGACCAAAAGTATTTACAGTGCCTAATATGTTAACATAGTTGTAATTTGAAAAGTATAGTAGCTCAGTGTCAGTCAGATGGGAAGTTGTTATTTTCTTTCCTTACTGGTCCAGGCTACTTTGCAAATAGGCCTTTCACTTAAATTAACAAGTTTGATTGAAGATCAGGTAAACTAAGAACTGTTGAGTTAATCTGCATGTTTGATATCTATTGACTATCATAAGTGTTCTGTCAAATATCTTTATTATTTAAACAATTTACTGTTAGGTCTTACAGGATCAAAATGACCATCAAGTACCATCTTTTGAACAGTAGGAAACATTGACCACAATTTTCAAAATTCCTTTTTTTTTCCCCCAAAATTCTTTTCTGTGCATAATGAGTCTAAAGGTTATGATTCTTGTTTCCAATTTCTTTAGGAAAAACTGGAAAGAATCAACGATGCTCTTTCATGTGAATATGAGTGCCGCCGGCGGATGTTGATGAAACGATTAGATGTAACAGTGCAGTCCTTTGGATGGTCTGACAGAGCAAAGGTAAGGCTGTTTTCCCGTTTGCGTCCTGTAGGTGGTACTCTTTGACAGCTCTTCAGGCTCTCTTGTCTGTTATGTAATGATGCTGCATTTGCACTGTATTGCTCTGTCTGAAGCTCCTGCCTAGACCAGAACTACTGGTCTTAAATAATCCTGGTCTCTGTTCATAGATATGTTAATTTCTGACTATATCTTTCACATTTATTTAAAACTCAGTTGTTATGATTTATGCAAGGATACAAGGAAATCTGGCAAAAAAAAAAAAAAAGGAAATCTGGCGTGCTGTCCATGGGGTTGCAAAGAGTTGGACATGACTGAGCCACTGAATTGAACTGAACTGATACATAAAAGAAGGCATCATATGTGGTGGTGAGATAGATGTAGTGAGCAACTGGTCAATTAGGCAGCACTGATGTCTGAACAAATCTTAAAGGTGTCTTAAGGCTATGAACTGTGTTCCAGTTGAAAAGGTTGCAGGGTGGGAGCATTCCCAAATGTGAATCTCTTCAGATAGTTTTCTGGAGAGCTGTCATCCATCATTCCCATTTTATGCCTTTAATCTGTACCCAGGCTTCTTCTGGGATCATCCACCCTACCCTGCATCACAGTCTGGAATCACTGCAGACAGTAAGCTGGGGCAAATATAGGAAAACTTTTGCTTCTCCTGTTATAGGGATCATTGTCCTATGCTTCTGGATATCCAGTGTCTGAAAATCACTGGTTCATGTGGATTGTCCAGTTTTATAGTTGTTTCAAGTGATAGGTAAATCTGTGCCTATTACTCTCAGATACTATTATTACGTTCTTGGGTAAGTGGGTGGTTCTTCTGCCCCATCTTGTATCAGTTGAGGTCACGTATGCAGCTTCGTTCAGGGAGAACCTGGGCTGGGGTGGATTGGAACATCTAAGGTGGTCGTCTTGAGTGTCTGGGTTCTGATGTCAGCAAGGGCTGCCTCACTGGTCATCTGTGCTCCTAGGTGGTCCTTCTCTCCATGTGGTGCCCTGTATCGGTTTCCTGTGGCTGCTGTAACAAATTACCACAGAGTTAGTAGTTTAAATAATACACATGTATTCTCTCAACAGATCTCGACATCAGAAGTCCTAAAATGAAGGTACTGGCAGGGTTACGACTCCTTCGAGACACTGCAAGGGAGAATCTATTTCCTTGCATTTCCTACTTTCCAGATACCACCTGTGTAGCTCAGCTCTTGATCTGATTCTCCATCTTCAAAATTAATAGTGTGGGATCTTCCAATCTTTCTTTTTCTGCTTCCATTATCATACACTTTCTCCTGTGTCTCTCTTATCAAGATCCTTGTGATTACACTGGGCTCACCTAGATAATTGATCTCAAGATCCTAACTTAACTTGCATTTGTATCTGCAAGGCAGCATAGTCACAGGTTCCAGGGAGGATGGAGACATCTCTGGGGAACCATTCTATTTACCAGATGTTTTATCTTCCTTTTAATGGATTTTATTTTTTTCCTACATTGTATTTCTTTACCATATGCTGCTGCTGCTTTTTTCTTCCTTTTTTTTTTTTCTTTTTAAAAGTCAGGTGTTCTGACGAGTCCTTTTTTCCTGGATACTTTCACCCTCGTGACTTGTACTGTCCTGTTGCAGCTTGGGCCACTTGCTCACCTACCCTTGGCTACTCCGCCATTTCTCGGATCCCATGGTCTTCTCTTTCATGGTTTTTTTCTCTCAGCCTGCTACAGTAAATGCACAAATAACTTCCTAACAGGATACATGGGGGTGATTTTTCTGAATCCTTACATTATGAAAATGTTTATTCTGCTGCCACATTTGATTGATAGTTTGAGTAAATGTAAAATTCTAGGTGGAAAACATTTTTCTCTCAGAATATTGAAGGCATTGCTTCGATGTTCTCTAGCATGTAGTGCCACTGTTGAGAAACCCGATGCCATCCTCCATTCTTTTGGATGAGCTTTTATTTTTCCCTGAGAGCTTTTAGAGTCTCTTCTCTATCCTTAGAGTTCTGAAATTTCACAGCGTATGTCAGTCAGGGTCTTTTTTAATTCATTGTGCTAAACATTAGGTGGGCCTTTCAATCTATAGACTCAACTTTTATATTTCTTTTATATTTTCTCTTTTTGAAACTCTTATTCAGCTATTAGACTTCCTGAGTAGATACTCTTAAGTTGCTTTTTTTTTTTCTTATTTTCTCTTTTCCTTTTTGATTCACTTTCTTGGAATTTTCCTCAATTTTATTTTGTGCTTGTCATTAAATTTTTGTTTCTGCCATCATTTTTTCCTTTCTGGAAATTTTTTTCCTACTTGAGTTTTCCTTTCCTGTGTTTTTTTCTTTCTTTCTTTCTTTCTTTCTTGTTTTATTGACTGTGCTATCTTCTTAAATGGGGATGAAAAAATTTTTTTATAAAAGGTTTTTTGTTTTGTTTTTTTTCCCTTCAATTATTTCTTATCTCTTCCAGGGCAATTTTTGATTTGTTTTTCTTGGTCTTTGTCTTGTGGAGGCTTTCTTCAAATGCGTTATGGTCTTTTGTTGTCCATATTTAAGAGAAGACACTGAAAAACTGCTTGGGAACTGTTTTGATAAGGATTGTTGGTGTCAGGTTTTGGAGCTGGCTACTGTGCAGTGGAAACTTCTAATGCTCACTTGTAGAAGTGTGACTGCTCATTTTTTTTTTAAGAAGGGAAGCCTCATTTGGCCAGGGGAGGCAGAGTGGCAGCATGGCCCCGATGGTTGAAAGAATAGATTATTGCACAAGTAGACGAGTTAACACCTATTTTTGGCTCCTGATTTCATTTTCTGAGATGTTGGTTCTCTTCTTACCTGTATCCCTCTTTCCATTCTGTTTATTGTAGTATTTGTGTACTTTAAAAAAAAAAATTTAATATGTGTAATCTGACTCATTTACATAGAAATACTCCCTTAAGTATATACATAGTTTCCTTCCAAACACCTTGCAGACAGATTCAAAAAAAAAATTAAAGAATGACTAGAACAGGATTGTTGGTGAACTATTGTTATTTCACAGGAAAAAAAATTTTTTTTTAGCATAGTAATAGAAGAGCTGTAAGGGAGAGTTGAGGACTGTCTTATGTGTATTTTCTTTCAATAAATATTTATTTAGCACCTCACGTGTGTCAAGCACTATGATGTACCTGGTTCTGGATGAGCATCTCAGTACCTTATATGTAGAACATTTTTAGAATATTTCACTGTAATATCTAATTGGCTTCTCAGAATGTTAAAACCTGTTTCTCTTCTGCATGCATACCAGGTAGACATGTGTGTCCATGTGTTTGAGGTAACCATTGTATGCAAGAAACCTAGATGCTCTGAGAGGTCTGAGTTACCAAAGAAGTAGATGACATGATTGCGGACTTAAAGAAAGGAAATAGAATTTAGATGTGTGGAAAGTATGAGTTTTACTGACCCCTGGAAACTTAATAGAGGTTCTATACATATTGGATATCCAGTTTAATCTGCTAGAATTTTAATGAGAAAAGGAATTTAGGAATATAAAGAATATTGTTAAAGGTAGTGCATTAAAAGTATCTTAACATACTAAATTGGAGGATATTTTCAGTGTTGTCCTTAAGGTTATAGAAAAATCCAAAACAAATGAGTTTTGGCATGCTCTTTGAACATTCAGAGTGGCACAGACTCATGGTAATGTACTCTTGACTAGCCTTAAACTTGGAGACTGAGAAAATATACTTTTAGGAAATACCTTGATATTTTTATCTTGGTGTTTTTTTATCATGTTTTAGGACAAGGAGATTGTGTTTTTGTTTGTTTTTCTTTATTCTGGAAGATTTTTTAAATGTGTTTTTCTTAGATTATGATCAAATTTTGACCTTTCATGTCATCCTTTTCAATTGTATATAAGTATATGCATTTATACCCTGAGTTTTCTTACTAAATTTAATGTATCTTTATATTATTCTCCCTGTTTCATGTGTCTGATGTTGTTGAATGATTGATCAACTGTTGTTCTACAGCATTTAAAATCTTTCCACATTTTATCATGTGGATATACTCTGTTGATTTTGAGGTTTCCTTTAATTTTGTCTTTTTTGAGCCTGTAATGAAATCCTTGACAACTACATTTTTGTTCATGTACATGATATATTCCTAAAAGTGGAATTTCTTAATCAAAGAATATGCATTTTAAAAATGCTCTTCACACACCCTGTATAGAGTTGCCCTTCGAGAAGATTATAAACATTTATTTGTATGGTTAATCTGGTTTCTCTATTATTTTGCTAGTATTGAAATAAAAGTATAATTTTATAGTATGATTTTTTTTGTGAATATAGGGTGATCATTGTCCCATATCTCTATAAAAGTTCTATTTCAATATCCTTTTTTATATTAATGTTTAATTTCGTATTGAGATATAATTCACCATCTTAAAGTGTATAATTTAGTGGGTTTTAGTATACTGTCTGTATTATGTAACCATGATCTAATTCTAGAACATTTCCCTCAACCACAAAAGAGATACTCCTTTCAGTGGTCATTCACAGTACCCTCACCTTCCTTTACTATAATCTAGTTTGTCTCTCTTTGGATCTGCCTGTTATGTGTATGTCATATATATAAGGAATTATACAATGTGTGGCTTTATGTCTGACTTCTTAGCATAATGCTGTCAAGTTTCATTCATGTTTCCTCACATAACTGCACAATCAGCCTTTTGTGTCTGCAGATGTGAAACCTGTGGATTCCTAAATGGAAATTCACTGTTGTCAAAGGTTATGACTCTTAATGCTCTTGATTCACATGGCCAGATTGTTTTTTAGAAATTTTTATGAATTTAAACTCGTACAAATGAGGCAAATGACATTTTGCTCTCATTTTAGCCTCTTGAATATTTAGAATATTATCAATTTTATGGCTAGCTTGATGGTTAAAAATGACTACATTGTTTTCATTTGTGTATTTGTCATATTAGTAAAGTTGAACCTTTTTTCATAAGCTTATTAGTCATTTGAATTTCCTATTTTTTTGAAATTTCTATTTGTGTCTTATATATTTTTTTCCCCTGAGGCCTTCCTGTTTTCCTTCTGATTGAGCTTTTTATATATTAAGGAAGTTAGCTAGTTGCTTTATTGAAAATATTTTCCCCGGTTGTCTTTTATGTCTTTTGATATGCATAAATTGTAGTCTTTTAACAGTTAAGTTTTTCAGTTTTAAAACTTTAAAAAAATGAACTTTTAAAAGTTTTACTTTTTTTATTGGAGTTCAGTTGATTTACAGTGTTGTGTTAGTTTCTGTTGTACAGCAAAGCAAGACAGTTCTACATGTGCCTATGTCCAGTCTTCTTTAGATTCTGTTCCCATATGGATCATTGCAGAGTACTGAAGAGAGCTCCCTGTGTTATACAGAAGGTTCCTACTAGTTGTCTGCTGTCTAGCTGACATACAGTAGTAGGTATATGTCAGTGCCAGTCTCCCAGTTTATTCTTCCCTCCCTCCCTCCGTCCTTAATAACCATGTTTGTTTTCTACATCTGTGACTATGTCTGTTTTGTAAATAGGTTCATTTGTATGATTTTTTACATTTCACATATAAGCAGTATCATATGATACTTGTCTTTCTCTGTTTGACCTAACTTCACTTAATATGATAAGCTTTAGGTCCATCCATGTTGCTGCAAATGATATTAGTTTGTTCTTTTATGTGGCTGGGTAATACTCCATTGTATATATACACCATACCTTCTTTATCCATTCCTCTGTTGATGGACATTTAGGTTGCTTCCATGTCCTAGCTGTTGCAAATAGTGCTGCAGTGAACATTGGGGTTCATGTATCCTTTTGAATTACAGTTTTCCAGATATATGCCCTGAAGTGGGATTGTGGCATCATGTGGTAGCTCTACTTTTAGTTTTTTTAAGGAATCTCCATACTGTTCTCCATAAAGAAAGTGAAAGTCGCTCACTCGTGTCTGACTTTTTGCTACCCCATGGCCTATATAGTCCATGGAATTCTCTAGACCAGAATACTACTAGAGTGGGTAGCCATAGTAAGTGTTATATTAATTTAATGCAAGAGATTTCTGTGTATTAATTTTATATTCTTCAGTTTTGCCAAATTCTTTGAGGCTCTAGTAGTTTTCTGGTTGCAGTTTTAGGATTTTCTATGTATAGTATCATGTCACCTTCAAACAGTGACAGTTTTACTTCTTCTCCAATTTGGATTCTTTTTATTCCTCTTTCTTCTCTGACTGCCATGGCTAGGACTTCGAAAACTATGTTGAATAAAAGTGATGAGAGTGAACATCCTTGTCTTGTTTCTGATCTTAGAGGAAATACTTACAATTTTTCACCATTGAGAATAATTTTGCTGTGGGTTTGTCATGTATGGCCTTTATTAAGTTGAGGTATGTTCCCTCTGTGTCCACATCTGGAGAGTTTTTATCTGAAATTGGTGTTGAATTTTGTCAAAAGCTTTTTCTGCATCTGTTAAGATGATCATATGGTTTTATTCTTCAGTTTGTTAACGTGATACATCAAATTGATTGATTTTACCTATGTTGAAGAGTCCTTGCATCTCTGGGATAAATCCCACTCAATCATGGTGTCTGATTGTTTTAATGTGTTGTTGGATTTGGTTTGCTAGTATTTTTCTGAGGATTTTTGCATCCATGTTCATCAGTGATGTTATCCTGTAATTTTCTTTTTTTATGATCTCTGTCTGGTTTTGGCATCAAGGTGGCCTCATAGAATGAGCTTGGGGGGTGGGGGTGGTGTCCCTTCTCTGCTAAGTTTTTGAAATAGTTTGAGAAGGATGGGTGTTAACTCTTCTCTAAATGCTTGATAGAATTCACCTGTGAAGCTGTCTGGTCCTGGACTTTTGTTTGTTAGAAGTTTTTATATTACTGTTTCAATTTACTAATTCTGATGATCTGTTCATATATTCTGTTTCTTTCTGGTTCAGTCTTGGAAGGTTGTATCTTTCTAAGAATTTGTCCTTTTCTCTAGATTATTCATTTTATTGGCATATAGTTGCTCTAGTTAAACAATGAACTTTTGTTATATTTGGAATCCCTTGTTATATGTTATGCATTATTATTATTTTACAAATAGACAACAGTTCATTCCAGCACTATTTAAAAAAATCTGCTTTCTGACCGATCCTTTTTTATGTTTTAATATTCTTTATTTTTTAGAGCAGTTTTAGGTTCATAGAGATATTGAACAGAAAGTTCTGACATTTCCATTTAGCCCTTGCTTGTACACTTACATAGCCCCATTATCAACATCCGCCACCAGTGTAGTAAATTGTTGCAGTTGGTGAATCTACATTGATACATCATTGTTATCCAAAGTTTGTAGCTTACATTGGGTTTCACTCTTGATGCTGTATATTCTGTGGGTTTGAAAAAATATACAAAGACATATATCCACCATTATAGTATCATACAGAGTATTTTCACTGCCCTAAAAATCTTCTTTGCCTATTCTTCCCTCCCTCCCCACAACCTTTAGGAACCCACTGATATTTTTTACTATCTCTATAGTTTTGCTTTTTTCAGAATTTCATATAGTTGGAATCATACAGATCATTATTTTCGGATTAGCTTCTTTCGTTTAATAATAGGCATTTAAATTTCCTCCATTTCTTTTGTCTCGCTGATCTTTGATGCTTTTTCTATCATTTATTGTATTCATACGTTTATGAGGCCTGGAATCTTACCTGTCTCTCTTGTTTCATCAGTTCATTCCCTCCCCGCAAGTTCCATTTAATTAGAGTGAGGTAGGATAGTGTACCTGTACAAACACTCTAAAAGGATGTTTTGAGGATTAAAGAAATGATACCAAATGAAGAATATCATGGCACTTTTAACAAGTAGTCAGTGAATGTAAGTTGTTAAAGCAGTGATGAATAATTTCATATTACCTGTTAATTGATGATAAAACTCTTTTCAAAATTGTTTTAGTCATTTCATACATATTTCATTTCTGAGTTAACTGTAGATATCCCTTACCTCCCTGCTCCACTAAAAATATATCCCAAGAGGATTGCAATAAACGTATAAGTCAATTTCAAGGAAAACTGACAATACTCAATGTCCCCATTCAGAAACATGGTATTTCTCTCCATTTATTCAAGCTCTTTTGTTTTTGTAGATTTACTAACGTTTTCTTCTTAAAGTTTCTGTATGTGTTTTCAGTAAAGCTATTTTTAGGTATTTTGCTCTTTGTTAATTCGAGTGGAATCTTTTTTGTGTTACTTTTAAAATGAGTTGTTATGGGTAGTTACATAATCTTTTAGCATTTGTCGGTCTCTTTTTTTCCCCTTCATTCTACTTACAGATTATCAGATACTTGAATGTTTTGCTGTTTATTTCTTTGCTTGTGTTTTATCTTTTTTTTCCTTTCTGAAGATTATGATTGCCATTGCTCTTTCATTGAAATGTTCTTTGGTTCCTTTCTCCCCTGACTTTTGTCATTTAGTTAAAAACAGATGACATAGCAAGAATTTACCAACCTAAGCGTTATGCTTTGTCACCCAAGACAACAATAACCTTGGCACATTTACTTGCTGCCCGTGAAGATCTGTCCAAGATCATCAGGACAAGTAGTGGATCCAGCCGGGAGAAGACAGCGTGTGCCATTAATAAGGTTGGTTTTTCCTTTAATACAGTGGAGAAAGAATTTATAATGTCCTTGATTCATGTTTTTACAGATTTTAATCCATTTTTCATCTCAGTGAATGCCTAGAAAAGAGAGTCAGTTTAGGCTTACTAATATTTTTTGTGTGCATGTTTATTTGAATCTATATTCGTAAGTCACAGTTTTTATCTGAATTAGAAGAATTAAGAATTATTTTTATCAGTATCATTAGCCAGAATTATTTGCCTTCTTTCCAATAATGTTACCATTTTTTGTCAGTAAAAAATCTGTAGGAGTCATTTTGGATACTCACAACATACTCCTTAGATCCGTGGTATAGAGGAAAGCGTACATGCTTTGGAGTCATACAGATATGGGTTCACATCCGAGCTCTATCATTTACTTAGAGAAATTACTTCTGCAAATTAGAAATTGAAAAATCTCTTGGATGTTCCATTTCCTGATTTAGAGTGTAGGTCCATTTCTCTGACAGTGGTCTTAAATCAACTCAGAGTCTGAATTTTTTACTTTACAACAATGGCAGCAACAATAAAATAATTTAGAATGTTTATATCAGCTTGTCTTGCATATACTCTTCAGTTAGAGCACTCTATGACAAACTTCACTATAAAAGAGCCAAAAGTCAGAAGTATGGGACTTGGGTAATTTTACAACATCAGTTCTCAGTGCAGTGAGAAAGGTGTCCTGTATCAGGGGATGGTTGTATATAAAGTCAGTTTGCTAATTACCATTAAGTTAGGTACCAGTGTTTGGGCCTTCCTGCTTCCATTTTAGATCAGCCTCCTCTCTTCTGAAAGTTTTCCACTTTTAAATATGTCACTTTATATCTTGCATCAAGGTTATAAGCTAGTCTTTCTGGATCAAGAGTTTTCTTAAGTAATATTGCCCATCTCTTTTCTGAGTTTGTAATTGATGGTCTGATTATTTGAGGGCAGTCTTATTATTGGATCTTGGAACAATGTCCCTGTATATTTACCAACATTGAATGTTTGGAGAGACCAATGAGGATAACAACCAAGAAAAGCTGTTTTCTGGATTTGGTAATTAGGACATTATTGCCGACTTTACAGTGTACTTTGAAGAATATAGTGTACTTTGAACCTTGTCCAACAGTGTGGAATTTGTACTTTTTTGTCTTCATTTATGATATAAAGTAGTAAAACATGATTTTGATTAGAGGATCAAGGAAAGTAGAACACAACTGATTTGTAGGTCATTTTGGCTGAGGCAGATTTGGTTTATCTTCTTTACTGAAAGACACTAGCAGGAAATTATTTGCTTCCTGTTGGTCTCTGTTCATGGGCATATAAAATAGCTCCTTTCTACTGAAGTTGGGGTACTTGAAGCAAACTCTTCCTTAGTTTACCCTTCGAAGTATTATGAAGCATGGTTAAGGAAGTGTATTAAGTCTTTATTTTCTTTATAATATAGTAACTAGTATCATTGAAAGTTAGCTTAAGTTTCTCATAAAAAAAGGAATAGTTCATTGAAAATCCTTGTAGCTCTTTGCAGTTGATAACCTTCACATCTGCCTGTATTACACCCATGTGTTATCATATATACTTCATATTTTGTTGAAATAAAATGTGCTTAGAAATAGTCTTTTATGGGATAGTCTATTACCAAACCAGTGGCAATAGAAAGTCCAGAGTTGTATAAATGAATATGGAGTTAAGTAGTATAGGGTATGAAGTTTATGTATATTGTAAATGTTTTGCTGAAAAGTTTTCTTAGTGTGATGGCTACTACATTTGTTATAAAATTTACCAAAAAGGTTTAAACAAGTTCTTAAGTTTCATAAATATTCTCCCACACTGTTTAAAATAACAGCACATTGTGAGGAATTTGTCACACATCACTTTTTTATTTTCAATATTAATTCATATTGCCGTGTCTGGTACTTTCATGTCCTAAAATATTTGGCTTCTGTTTCTTTATTAGAACAATAACTTCAATGTTGCTTGCATCCTTTAAGTAAATTTTAACTTTTGCAATATTGGAAACTGAAAGAAAATATTTCTTTACACAGGTGCTGATGGGAAGGGTGCCTGACAGGGGAGGACGGCCGAATGAAATTGAACCACCGCCGCCTGAGATGCCCCCTTGGCAGAAGAGACAGGAAGGCGGTGGCAGGGGTGGCTGGGGTGGTGGAGGTGGTGGCAGGGGAGGTGCTGGGGGCGGGAGAGGCGGTGGCTGGGGAGGGGGAGGCGGCTGGGGCGGTGGTGGGGCCGGGGGAGGCGGCTGGGGTGGTGGCGGGGCCGGTGGTGGTAGAGGAGGAGGTTTCCAGGGCAGGGGAGACTATGGTGGGAGGGGAGATCATGGTGGAAGAGGGGGCTATGGAGGCAGAGGAGGCTATGGTGGAAGAGGTTACGGAGATCCGTATGGAGGAGGTGGTGGTGGATATAGAAGATACTAAAAGCCACAACATTTAGATAGCAGTGCTTACTTCTTGATAGATACATTAGGCATAGTATTCTAAATAACTACTTGAGTGTCATCTTTGAAGTAAACACCATGTTAGATTCCCTGATGGTATCATTCTTGAATTGGCTTGACTATGTAAAAGAACATTGTTTTATACTGTTTGATCTCTTAGACAAAGTGATGATTTTTTTTCCACACTCTGTGTACTCTTGAGCATGTCATGTCTTTTTAAAAAACAAAAAAATGAGTAAAAAATATTTTTAAAAGTGTAAATATATTATTACCATCAAACTTGGAAAATGGAAAGTATTTTATTGTCATGATTGAATTTAGATTGTTACCTGTATTTTATTCAGGTCTGAGACACATAGATGACCCCACTTGTAGTGGAAAGGAATATAAACTTATTGCCTCATCTGTAGTCCTGTGGCTGATTTGTATTTGTTAATTCTATTTTACAAAATAGGAAAAGAGACTGTTCAGTAAGAAGTTGTCATGACTTGTGTTTTTCTTTTATATGAACTATTCCCCTGGCCAGGTTTCTGTTAAAATTCCGATAATTGAAGCCCAAGTCTACTTTTTGCTACGCATATTTATTTTCCAACTGGATTTGAAGTCTGTATGATTTTGTTTGACAGAGCAGAATTAAAGACTGAGGTCAGAATTACCATAAAGGAACAAAGACATGGACCAGTTTTACATCGTGTTATGAGAAAGATTTCTGCAGATTGGTCTCTTCATCATTTGTGCCATTGCTTTAGGTATCCAGAGATTAAAGGGCAGGCTGCTCTGTGCTGTGCAGGATCAGGACACATGTCCAGTTTTACGGATCAAAGGTAGGGCCATGACACCCCTTGGTAATTCTGACTCACAGCTAGATTTGGGAAACACGGGGTTGGAGAGTGTGTAAGTGTGACTTACTGGCTGGCGCAGTCAAGGGCTTGGGGATCAGGAGCTGTGAATTTACATCATGGCACCGGCCCAGGGTGGGGGCTATAGGCCAAGATGGCCGTAGCTCCCGGAGATGAATCTGTCCTCTTTTGTCAAACGAGGAATGTGACACTTGAGCCTTCTCCGGTTGTTTTTATAAAGATCTAAGTGCAAGTCCAGTTTGTTGAGAGTTTATAGAGGCCTGTTGTGAAAGGTGTAAAAGGTGGCTCAAGTAATGCATTTTTCTTATAGTATATAGAGAGAAAAAGATATAGTCATATAAATTTTTTCAGTTCCGCTTTAAAATCTGTAGACTTCTGGTGCATTAACAAGTTTCTGTAGTCTGATTGAAAGCTGAGTACCTGTGGACAAATGGATTTGGCAGTGTTACTCTTGTTTTACAGTAAACCCCATGGCGAAATCTAAAATGATAAAACTTTAAATATTGTGTATACCATAGTGTTGGACATGTCTTTTTCAAGCTAACCCTTCAAAGAAATTTGTTCAGGAGAGGAAAACATAAAATTATTTTGTTTACTTGTAAACTTAAAAAAAATTTTTTTTTATTTGTTGAAGAGAGAATTTCATTTGTGATAGTTGAAGAAAAAATCTTTCTGTATAACGAAATACTTTTATAAGTAGCTATGGACTCTGAAAAATAAATAACTTGAAAATATATAAGCAAAGACTGCTGGAGTAAAATATTTCAAAAAATTATTAGTTAAAATATTCATTTAAAAGGTTTAGATTTCTGCTTCATTTCTTTTCAGGAGCTTTAGTTGCTGATACAGAATGGGTTTGCAAGTACTTTCAGCTTTTTTTTAACCACTAATGGTAGAAAGATTAATTTATTAATTTCTGTAGGATTTCTTTGTACTTTCATAGGCTTGCTGTAGGATTATCTGCTTCTCACTGTAAATCTTATCCAAGTTTAGCTCTTGCTCCTGGAATCATGCTAAAGCTGGAACCACTCTTATTTGCACATTCTTAAAAATTTTACTTGAATGAATAGCTGAGTGGTCTAGACCCTAATATTTTTTTCTTTCCTGTGGGGTAGGATTTTCATGATAATCTTCTCTTAGCAGAAACTTCTTTTGTAGAAAATTTACTCAGTAATATCTAGAATAGCAGTAACATAATTTGGGGCCTTAATGTTAAAGGTCATAATGTGAAAATGCTTTATAAATTGAGTGCGGTCAAATGTAGAGTATGCTGAATGGCACTTCTGTGCTTCCTGAAATCTAACACTTTTTTCTGTGCTTATCATTCTTTTTGCCTAGTTCTTAATTTTATTTTTTCCTGCCACCTCATTTTCCCTCCCCCCTTTTTTCTCCCTGCCTTGGTCTATCTTATGGTATCTGATAGCACCCATAGACATATTATTGGTAGTATCTAGATTAAAGAAGTAACTGATGTCCACCCATGCATAACGATCGCACCATTACACATAAGCTCTCAAAGATGGAATGAGGTATTTCCTTTTAACCCGTTCCCTTGTTTTTTGCAGATCAAGGAAATCTTGCCTCACTAAACAGAAAAAAAACATTTTAAACGAAAACTATTTCATTACCTTTTTGTGTGTCAAAAGAAGTTATGGCTAACACCCAAAGTATTTGTGATGGAAAATGTTCTGAGCAGTGATGTCATCTATACCTTGTCAGGGACACAGGGTGGAAGTATTTGGAATTGGAATTGGAGACAGAGGAGGGGAGGTAGTTTAATCTCTCCTCTTAAGGGCAGGTTGTTAGTGTAACTTGATTATTTTCTATGAAGTGTTGAAGGATTGAATTATTTTCTGTGAAGAATTGAAAAGACAGAAAAGGCAAAGGAGAAAAGGAAAGATATTCCCATTTGAATGCAGAGTTCAAAAGAATAGCAAGGAGAGATAAGAAAGCCTTCCTCAGTGATTAATGCAAAGAAGTAGAGGAAAACAATAGAATGGTAAAGACTAGAGATCTCTTCAAGAAAATTAGAGATACCAAGGGAATACTTCATGCAAAGATAGGCACAATAAAGAACAGAAATGGTATGGATCTAACAGAAGCAGAAGATATTAAGAAGACGTGGTAACAATACACAAAAGAACATACAAAAAAAGATCTTCATGACCCAGATAATGACAGTGGTGTGATCAGATACCTAAAGCCAGACATCCTGGAGTGTGAGGTCAAGTGGGCCTTAGGAAGCATTGCTATGAACAAAGCTAGTGGAGGTGATGGAATTCCAGTTGAGCTATTTTAAATCCTAAAAGATGATGCTGTGAAAGTGCTGCACTCAATATGCCAGCAAATTTGGAGAACTCAGCAGTGGCCAAAGGACTGGAAAAGGTCAGTTTTCATTCCAATCCCAAAGAAAGGCAATGCCAAAGAATGTTCAAACTACCGCACAATTGCACTCATCCCACACACTAGCAAAGTAATGCTCAAAATTCTCTAAACCAGGCTTCAACAATACATGAATCATGAACTTCCAGATGTTCAAGGTGGATTTAGAAAAAGCAGAGGAACCAGAGGTCAAATTGACAACATCCGTTGGATCATAGAAAAAGCAAGAGAGTTCCAGAAAAACATCTGCTTTATTGATTATGCCAAAGCCTCTGACTGCGTGGAACAGAACAAACTGTGGAAAATTCTTCAAGAGATGGGAATACCAGACCACCTGACCTGCCTCCCAAGATATCCATATGCAGGTCAAGAAGCAACAGTTCGAACTGGACGTGGAACAACAGACTGGTTCCAAATAGGAAAAGGAGTACATCAAGACTGTATATTGTCACCCTGCTTATTTAACTTAACATTCAGAGTACATTATGAGAAATGCTGGACTGAATGAAGCACAAGCTGGAATCAAGATTGCTGGGAGAAATATCAATAACCTCAGATATGCAGACGACACCACCCTTATGGCAGAAAGTGAAGACTAAAGAGCTTCTTGATGAATGTGAAAGAGGAGAGTGAAAAAGTTGGCTTAAAACTCAACATTCAGAAAACTAAGATCATGGCATCCAGTCCCATCACTTCATGGTAAATAGATGGGGAAACAATGGAAACAGTGACAGACTTTATTTTCTTGGGCTCCAAAATCACTCCAGATGGTGACTGCAGCCATGAAATTAAAAGATGCTTACTCCTTGGAAGGAAAGTTATGACCAACCTAGACAGCATATTAAAAAGCAGAGACCTTACTTTGCCAACAAAGGTCTGTCTAGTCAAAGCAATGGTTTTTCTAGTAGTTATGTATGGATGTGAGAGTTGGACTATAAAGAAAGCTGAGTGCCGAAGAATTGATGTTTTTGAACTGTGGTGGTGGAGAAGACTCTTGAGAGTCCCTTGGACTGCAAGGAGATCCAACCAGTTCATCCTAAAGGAGATCAGTCCTGGGTGTTCATTGAAAGGACTGATGCTGAAGCTGAAACTCTAATCCTTTGGTCACCTGATGTGAAGAGCTGACTCATTTGAAAAGACTCATGCTGGAAAAGATTGAGGGCAGGAGGAGAAGGGGATGACAGAGGATGAGATGGTTGGATGGCATCACCGACTCAATGGACATGAGTTTAAGTAAGCTTTGGGAGTTAGTGATGGACAGGGAAGCCTGGCGTGTTGCAGTCCGTGGGGTCGCAAAGAGTCGGACACGACTGAGGAACTCAGCTCAACTGACCTGATTGAATGCATTCCATTATGGAGTTTGAGTGACTAGAATCCATCTCCCTATTCCCCTTCATTGGTCTAGTTAAACAAAAGTTGCCTGGGGATTAAGGAAAAATTATGGCTATCTTTAATTACTCTAAATGATCACTAATTGTGAGCACAAATGAATTGCTCTGGGTGATCTGTACTCTAGATTGAACGATCCTTTACCAATCCATCCACAGTTTCAAAGTTTCTCTTTTCTTGCTAGATTTCTTAGATAGAATTGTGGATTTAAAGATGAAAGCCACAGAGAAATGACAGCCTCAGATTTGTCTCCTTCAGTGTTAAGTGTTTATAGACTGAATATTTGGGGATCGTATTTGGCGATCACTGTCATTATGGAATAAGATGGTAAATGAATATTTCTATATATTAGTACTTCATGTTACATATTTAGAAAAATGTAGCTCAGTCGGTAAAGAATCTCCCTGCGGTGCTGGAGACCCAGGTTTGATCCCTGGGTTGGGAAGATCCCCTGGAGAAGGAAAGGGCAACCCACTCCAGTATCCTTGCCTGGAAAACTCATGGACAGAGGAGCCTGGTGGGCTGCAGTCCTTGGGGTTGCAAAGAGTCAGGCACGATTGAGCGACTAACACTCATACTGAATAATTAGTTGCTTTGCTTTTTCTTTCAGGACAACTGGTTTGGTTAATAGAGAGTGATCTCAGCTGTTGATTATAGTAAAAATTCAGATGAAGCATCTACATGTTTATGAACTAGAAGAAACACAGCACATCTTTGTAGGGATCCTAATGTCTTTTATCATATAAATATTACACAATGAAAACTTATATTAGGTATCAAAAAAAAACCCACCTTTACAATCTGTACATTTGTTTTTTCCTTGCAGTTCTTTTACATTATACATCTTTAAACAGAAATTCACAAGTAAAACAGCAAATCAATTACCAAAGAAAAGAAGTGACACTGTTGTTAATGAAACAAGATTTGTCCTTGTTTTGACGGATAAATATATGCCCAAACTTATTTCAAGTTGATACAAGATACACAAATTTGTACTGTAGGCTTGACAAAAAATTTGTTCCAGATTATTTCTGTAGATTTCACTAATCCCACATTGCTCAGAGCAAATAATACTGATTTATACACTATACTTCTTTGGCCCTTGCTGGATTGTAAAGACCTGTGGTGAAACTACTGCTTCCTGTCCATTTCAATGATAAATTTGGAAGGCCTGAGACCTTCTAGCCATGTTAATTAGACTAAGGAGACAGTGACCTTTTGAATTCCTCTAGATTACAAATTATTTACGTACACTAACCTGGGCTCTATATTTTGGATGGCATATAAGAAGAGTGAAAAAAAATTCAATTGTGTTTTATAACTACACATAAAGAAATTGAACTGTACTGTCTTTGGTTTGTATCAGAGGACAAGAATAAGGGAAGAATTTTAAGGATGACTGTAAACTCATTTGTTCCATATAAGGTAAGTAGCAAAGTACTTCCTACATGATTATATACCAAGTAGTGGACCTAAACAGCCCTGCCATGGGGATTTCTGAGTTTAGATATAGAAAGATGTAAATTTGTGTGTACAGTGATTTTTTAAAACACTAAACACTAAGTGAAAGCTAGTCATTTGCTTTTTCACTAAAGCTCAGTACAAGGGGGTATGCAAATGGGAACTGGTCTTTCATCAAAGAAACTTCTTAAATGGTCTGAATCCTTCCAGGAAACTATACTGCATATATAGTTTGTTTTGACGGATAAATATATGCCCAAACTTATTTCAAGTTGATACAAGATACACAAATTTGTACTGTAGACTTGGTGTTGCCGGTTTGGAAGTTCTGGTTGTTGAGATTATATTCTTGGCAGTTGGTCAGCTTGTGTATGAATTTTAAGTCGGCTCGACATCAGGCATCCAAGCATGGAAGGTAAGTTCCCGGCCAAAAGAAAATGATCATATGAATTTTTTTTAGAGAAAGAGTCTGACAAAGAAGTTTGTCAACAGTTGCCCAGATAATTAAATAAGCCCATTTATCACTAACCTTCATTAATAGAAAACTCACAGGACTCTTGTGATTTTGCCAAACAATACAATTTAAGTTATAAGTAATTTCTTATCTTGTAACAAACTGAACTTTGTGAATTTGTATACATGACCAAAAGTCTAAATCACTTCCACATCTGAAGGAGGAAACAGAATTCCAAGCCACATGCATGTCTGATGTTGTATATACACAATATGTACATATGTACATGCTGTCAGCTATTATTGAAACCTCTCATCCAGTTAGCTTATTTCTAAATAGTATTAATAGTGAAGACAAAAGCACAAATTCAGTTCAAAAAACAGTTACTTCAAAAAAAAATGGCACATGTAAGTTAAACAGACTTTAAAAAAAGCTATAAATTCTTAATTCTATCCATTGTAGATTATGTAAGGGACAAACATGTTTGTGTTATATTTACTTTAGCTAATTAGCCAGCCATGTATGAGGTGGAAATAGCCACATTTCCAGGTACTTATTTGGCTATTTTATCATGATTGTGAGACTAAAATTGAGTTGACTTGTAACTGGATGATGTCATGTTGTTTAATAGCTCCTTCCTGCCCCCCACCCCCAAATTTATGGCTACATCTCTAGAAGTTCTCTTCTAGGTAGATATCCTTTTTTGTGTAAGAATATAGTGAGGAAGGAGGGGGAAAGGCAAATTGATTAGATCTGAGGTAGTGAAGTGGGAACCAGGTTTGTAAAGAATGCTGAAATACAGAGGAAGTAATTCTCCTTTTGGCATGTGGGTATTTTTCCATCATAAGCAAGTTTTGGATGGAACAATGCCTCAGAAAAAGCCAGGGAAGGAAACATTCATTTTCCAGGGATTTTAGTTCTAAGGAAGCTGCAGCTGGATAGGTCACGTAGAAGAAGCTACCTTGTCAGAAAACTATAGTCATGTTTTTTACCATGCTTTTGATATTAGTCCCAAGGGGAGAAAAAGTTTGTGGAATGAATGGCAAATATTTCTCATTCTTCAGCTATCCTCCCTTTGATTCAAACTGACTGGAAGAGAAAACCTTACTGCACAGTAAGAATCTTTTAAGTAAAAAAGTAGCTCCTTTTCTTTAAAGTACCCTTTTTAAAGCCAGTCAGCCTAAGGTTCTCCGGGTCTTTGTGTTGAGGTTTAGGAAATGAGATCTCTGATATACTCTACAGTTTGTGTTTCTTGAGTTTCTGGGCTAAGAACAGTCACCCTGCTCCATCTGAGCCAAGACATGATTGTTTCTTGCAAGTTGGAGGGTTTCTATCTTCTTCTGTGCATATTTCAGTTGGGTCTTTAGAGCATTATTATCTGCTTTCAGGGTATTTATTTCCTAAAAGAAAAGGAGAATGAGGTATGTTAATAAAGCAGCAATAAATGGCAGATTAGTTACATCAGGAGTACTACACTTGACTGGCATCTTTTCACTGTAACTGTGAAACTGTTTTCAAGGTAGTTATTCTGCTCTGAATAAAAACTAAGTTAAATACTTATCAAATTTTCATGTGTATCAGTTTTGTTATATCACATCTTTGTTTATCAAAGATGTGAGTGGTTAGCAGGCAGACTAAACCATTCATGGGCAATAGATGGATAATAAGAAAATCTTTGAATATTGTGTAGCAGGAATAAATGTGGCAGAAAAGGTCTTGGTCAGGTTTGAGGTATAAAAGCAATGACTTTGGAATACACTATGTGATATTACAGTTCACATGGGAGATTACATACATTATCATATATTACATATTTTCTCCAAATCATTGAAAACAGACTCTTGATAAAGGTGAGAATTTTATCCCATCCCCTTAAACTGGGATTTTATTATCTAATTTGCAGTGATTTAGTTATAGAGGCAGCCATTGATTTACAATGCTACAAATAGAAATTCAGTTTTTATATGGCTAATATTCCATTGTGCATATGTATTGATATATGTATATGCATTTACACACACATCTTTATCAATTTATTTGTTGATGGACACTTAGGTTGCTTCCATATCTTAACTATTTAATACTGCAAACACTGGGGTACATGTATCTTTTTGAATTAGTGTTTTCATTTTCTTTGGATATATACCCAGAAGTGGAATTACTAATCAAATGGTAGTTCTTTTTTTAGTCTTTTGAGAAATCACCATAGTGTTTTCCATAGTGGTTATACCAGTTTTCATTCCTACCAACTGTACAAGGATTCCTTATTTCTGCACATCTTCACCAGCACTTATCATCTCATACCTGTTAGAGTGACTATGGTCAAGAAGATATCTCATTGTGGTTTTGATTTGCATTTCTCTGATTAGTGACATGGAACATCTTTTCATGTTCCTATCAGCCATTTGTATGTTTTGGGGAAAAACCCTGTTTAGTTCTGGTTTTTAGATTTTGTTGTTGGTATTGAGTTGTATGAGTATTTACATATTTTAAAGAATTCCTTATTGGATATATCATTTGCAAATATCTTCTCCCATTCAGTAGGTTACCTTTTCATTTTATTGATGGTTTCCTTACTATGCAAAAGCTTAGTTAATGTAGTCCCATTTGTTGATGTTTGCTTTTGGTGTCATGTCCAAAAATTCACTGCCAAAGACGGATGAAAAAGAACTTCTTCCCTACTTTTTTTCCCCTAGGAGTTTCATAGTATCAGGCCTCATGTTTGTCTCTGATCCATCCTGAGTTAATTTTTATGAGAGGTGTAAGATGGGAGTCACATTTCATTGCTCTGCATGTGCTGATCCAGTTTTCCCAACACCATTTGTGAAGAGACTATCCTCTTTGCTTTGGATGTGCTCTGGGCTCTCTCGTCAGGTATTAGTTCACCGTATACACAGGGGTTTAATTCTGGGCTGTTGTCGGTTCCATTGGTCTATGTGTCTATTTTTGTGCCAGTATCATAGTGTTTTTACTACTGTAGCTTTGTAGTATTTAACTTGAAATTAGGAAGTGTGGTACCTCCAGCTTCTTTCATCAGGATTACTTAGGTTATTCATAGTCTTCTGTTGTTCCATACAAATGTTAGGACTGTTTTTTCTATTTCTGTGAAGAATTCCATTGGTATTCTGATTGAATCTGTAGATTGCTTTGGGTAGTATGGGCATTTTAACACTCCTTTTAAAAAAAAATTATTGAGTTTATTTACAATGTTTTGTTAGTTTCTGCTATAAGAAAAGTGATTCAGTTATACACATATATATTCTTTTTCATATTCTTTTCCATTATGGTTTGTCACTGGATAGTGAATATAATGCTCTGTGCTACACAGTAGGACCTTGTTGTTTATCTGTTCTATATGCAATAGTTTACACCTGCTAATCCCAAACTTCCATCCCATCCTTCCCCCAGCCTCTCCCTTGGCAACCACAAGCCTGTTCTCTTATGTTTGTAAGTCTTTTCTGTTTCATGGATAAATTAATTTAGGTCATATTTTAGATGCCACGTATAAGTGAAATTTTTTTTTGTTTTTCTGACTGACTTCACTTAGCTGTGATATTCTCTAGGTCCATCCAAATAGCATTATTTCATTCTTTTTTACACACACACACATGTATATACATACATATATATACACACATACCACTGTATCCATACCACATCTTTATCCATTTATCTGTCATTGGATACTTAGGTTGCTTCCATGTCTTGGAAGTAATGCTGCTGTAAGGTGGTACTTCATTGTAGTTTTGATTTTCATTTCTCTAATAATTATCTCATGATGAGCATCTTTTCATTTGCCTATTGAGCATCTATGTCTTCCTTGAAAGAATTTAGGTCCTCTGCCAGACATTTCAACAGTCTTAATTCTTCTATCCATGAACACAGCAAGTCTTTGCATTTGTGTCTTTGATTTCTTTCTGCAAAGTCTTGTAGTTTGCCTTGTATAAATCTTTCATTTCCTTGGTTAAATTTATTCCTAAATATTTTGTTTCTGATGCTATTGGGAACAGGGAAGTTTTCTTTTTCAGATGTTTCATCCTTAGTGTGTAGAAATGCAACTGATTTCTGTAAGCTGGTTTTGTATCCTGCAGTTTAACTGAAAATGTTAGCTGCAATGGTTTGTTTTGTTTGTTGTTTAATCTTTGGGTTTTTCTATATATGGACTCATCATCTGCAAGTAGTGACACTTTCGCTGCTGCTTTTCTGATATTGTCTTGCCTAATCGCTTTAGCTAAGACTTTCAGTACTTGATTAAGTGGTGAGAGTGGGCACCTTCATCTTGTCCTTAATCTTGGTGGAAAAGCTTTGAAATTTTCTCCACTGAGTATAATGTTAGCTGTCAGTTTGTTATATATGGCCCTTATTATGTTGAGGTATATTCCTTTTATCCAGTGTGAGCAGGGTTTTTATCATGAAAGAATGTTGTATTCTGTCAAATTTTTTTTGCATTTGTTGAGATGACCACATGATTTTTCTTTAGAAAAATGATTTTACTAATGTGATATAGTACATTTATTGATTTGCATATGTTGAACTGTCTTTGGATCCTAAGAAATCCCATTTTTCATAGTGTATAGCATCTTTTTGATGTGTTATTAAACTCAGGTTGCTAATATTTTGTTGAGAATTTTTGCATGTATAGTTGCCAGTAACATAGGTCTATAGTTTGTCTTAGTGTCCTTATCTGACTTTGGTATTAGGGTAAAACTACCCTGATGGTTTGAAAGTATTCTATCTTTTTAGAAAGCTTTTAAGAAGGACCAGTGTTAATTCTTTGAGTGTTGGGTAGAATTTGCCAGTGAAACTGTCTGATCCTGGGTTTTCTGTGTTGGGAGGATTTTGACTACTGAGTCAATGTCTTTGCTTGTTGTTATTGGTTTTAGATTTTCTATTTTTTTCTGGATTCAGTCTTGGTCATTTCTGGAAATTTATACATTTGTTCTAGGTTATCTAATGTGTTGGCGTATTCATAAGTTTCTTATGGTTCTATGGATTTGGGTAGTAACAGCTGTAATGTTGCCTTTTGTTTTTTTAATTTTACATATTGAGACTTCTCTCATTTTTTCTTAGTGTGAATAAAGGTTTGGCAGTTTCACTTTTTGTTAGTGGGCCTGAAGTTTTGGTTCATGATGGTGCAACCGTTTGTTTTTTTAAGGCAAACAGTCTTGGTTAAATGATTATTCACAACTGTCAATTTTGTTCACCTTTTCTTTTTGTGGTCTCTATTTTTCTTCCTGATAGCAGTGAATCAGCATGGAGTAGGGTCACCAACTCCCTTGGCTTCACAGCCCTCTCTGAGGTCCTATGTAGTACTTTCTGAAGCACAGGTGGGTAGAAATCTACTGGGTGTTCTGGTATAAGATGCACAGTCACTTTTGTTTATGAATGACCAATCTGGTTGTAAATAAAAGGGGAGATTTAAAAAGGAGTCACACACACTACCATGATGCCAACATTCCTGGGTTTTGAGACTTTGAATCTCGTGTTCTTAGCTCGCTTATACTATACTGATTAATGAATTACTTCTCAACATAAATTACCCAGATAGCTGTCTATTAGCTACTGTGTAGTCCTGAGTATTTGCCATGTGCCAGGTAACTGCGTTGTTTAGTCATGTCTGACTCTTGCAACCCCATGGGACTTCAGCCTGCCAGACTCTTCTTGCCTGGGAAAGCCAATAGACAGAGGAGTGGAGTGGGTTGCAGTTTCCTTCTCCAAGGGATCTTTCTGACCCACAGATCAAACCTGCGTCTCCTTCATTGGCAGGTGGATTTTCACTGAGCCACCAGGGAAACCCCAGGTACTGTTACATGATGATACAGGTGGGTATAGTATCAGACTGGCGATTTGAATCTAAGAGGCATTGTATTTTCTGTTGTCCTGTGCTGGTTTAGAGGTATAAACATATTTACAATATTAATATGTATCGTACATTATTTTAATATTACATATTAAATACTCTGGTATTACTGGGATAGTTAGTTCTGGACCTAACTTACGTATCTGAAATCTTTCTACCACTCACTCCTTGCAGCAAGAAGTTGTTGCCAACTACATTAATCCTTTGCATGGGCATGTAAAATGCCAAGATCTGAAGCAAGCTGTAGAGAGCATGGACAGCTTCTGGCTCTCTCTACTTTAAAGCGGACCAAACAGGTCAGACTGTAATAGCAGCAGTAAGAAATAGCTCGGATTAGGAACACAGGTGTTTGTCACCAAGACTCAGGTTTTTCCTACTCTCTCAAGGTCACTTTTCAAAGGTTCATTCATTGTTCTTAAAAAAGTTGGTTCTGGTCATTTTTACCCCCAGAGAGAGCTCTGTGTAGCCGACATTGTGCCACCTGTTTCTTAAAGCATGTACTAAATATTCTGAGTGAGACAGTACTTTTCATCTGGAAAATCTGTTATTTTATCAGGTGTGTGCCTCCTAATATGTTCTTTGTTTTAGGCACCAAACCAAGAGTTTCACATGCATCATCTAACTTGTTTCTTTGTTTCAATGCCTGGGGGTCTAACAGGGAAGATGCAACACTGAGGACCAGGTAGGGAGTCCTGAGACCCTATTGGGCAGTTTTACTATGTGGTATGTAGAATTATGTAAGGAATTCTAGCCAGTTGGATGTTGGTTTTGTGTTTGTACTGACAGGCCTCCAAAAACACATTGCTGACCTTTATGTTCTGGGGGTAAAAGGCAGACAGGCCTTCTTCCCCATCTCTAAAATGACTAAGTTGCCTGTCTGACCCTACAATAACCTGCTGTCTCCAGTTGGCCTAGCTCCTACTTTCCTTTCTCTCTCTCTTTTAACCTTATTTTGTCTTTTCTCATGCCTCCATTAGGTACATTACAATTAGGACATTATGAGCCTAATAGGAAAAAACAGCTGTGGTATCAGATTTTTTTTTACCAATTAATAGATTATAATGCTATATATAATAATCAACTGGGCATTTACCAGCTACTGTTGATTTAGCTGGTCTAATGTATAAATATATAAATCAGTACATCTCCTTAAGTTGTAGAGGAAAGCTCCCTCATTTTACATTAAGGAGGAGGCTTTCTGTGCAGTGAGCTAAACAGTCTCTTCTCTTCTTTTGAAAGCATGATGTTCCCCTCCCCAAACATAACTCTGAATAGTGTAACAAAGACTTCTGGGGAGGGAAGATTTAGGCAACTTGCTTTTAAGTCTAGAAAAAGGGTGTGGTGTCACCACAGTAAAGCTGATCAGTAGAAACTGGTTTTTCTCAAGGAGCCTGCTGTGAACAGAGCTTTGGACCTTGGCACCAGCACTTTGAGACTGTGCCTTATGGCACCAGGGAGCCCTGTCTGTCCTAGATGCATAATGCGAACCAGGGCCCTCGTTGCTTTCTTTGCGACAAAGCAGAATTCTTTTCTTTTTTCCTTTTCTTCCCCTTTATCTTTCTAATAATAAACCTGGTTGGAATCTTCAGTTTACATGTTCTTCCCTGGTTAGCCCCACTTTCTCAGTCTGAAAAAAAGAAAAAGGAAGGTACCTGTTCCAGCTCTTGGTATGTTGGGAGCCTGAGGTGACGGAGCTCCTCCTTTGATTTTATGAAGGATTCCTTGTTCTCCCACTTGACGAAAGCCCGCTTCCTGACCAAGACTGGGCTGGGGCATGGAGACGTAGGGCTGGGCAGCACATACAGAGTATCCTGGGCTGTCTTCCGTGGGGATGACAGCACAAAGTGACTGGAAGGGCCTTCACTGCCAAGCCAAGACAGTGCTTCAGTCTGGGTGGCCTTGTGGGCGACAGTCCTCTTCAGCCGAACAGAAATTTTCTGTGAGGATACCCCCATGAGCATGATGGTCCGATCCTTACTCTCCTCACTGTGTTCCACAGCCTCCCCGTTAGAGAATGTGAAAGGTCCTTCCTCAGGTGCTGTAGGAAGAAGACATGTTGGTACTTTAGCTTAGAAAAGCAGGCACTTGAAATTCACACATGAGTATCAAATGAGACTTTTCTTATTGCTACAGGAGTCCATAAGCCCAAAGTGGACTTAACTTTCAGGCAGCCAGTTTAGGGGGTGAGGCAGCTGAAATTCAGAGTGCCTGCTTACCGTGGAGCAGATCCTTAGCTCCCAGGGAGCAAAGGTTGGACGCTGGCCCCACAGAAGTGCTGATCTCTGAGGGAGCTGTTGAGTTCTTGGCTTGCTTCTTGCACTCGAACACAACCAGGTCTTTGCATTGTTTGTGGCAGTTCATCCCACAGTCTGTGGACAAGACACCCTAGTCAGGAAGTCCTTCACTTTCTCCTCCAGTGTCTCAAAACCACACCCATGCACTGTTCTTGTCACATATGCCCTTCCTAAGTTCTGGAGCTAGGGCACCTAACATTTCTAATGAACTTAGCATTCTTCTTACTGGGTCAACCCTGGATCTCAGTCTTGTCACAGCCCTTATCATGAGTCTGAGAATCAGAAGTAGCATCCTGTTACCTTGGGTGGAAAAAGAGGTGTCTTTTTTGGTCCTCCTACACATATTGCCCACTCTAAGGAGACCTCTAGATGCTCCCAGCTGTTAGGTCTCAATCTTTTTTCCTTTCAGTTAAATGTCTTTGCTCCTTTACTCTTGAACTTTTCTAGTCCCAAGGACAACTATGGTAAAAGGAAAGCTGACAAGGGCCTTTGGTAAGCACTTATCTTCTGTTTCAGAAGTGATTCTGTGCCTGTCTTTGGGGACCCATGACCACATAATCTACCAGTCACCCCAATTTCCAGCGCAACCCAGGCAAAGAGAGGATCTTGAAACAGGAAGTGCATAGCTAGTCATCTAGGGATTCGTCTCCTTTGTGGTGGCAGTCACTCTCAGGGGTGCTCTAGGGAAGCCAGTTAGGAGATGAGGCTGTGAGCTTGCTGAGAAACTGGGCTGAATGGGTCAAACATGCCTTACAGGAAAGCTCCCAGGACCAGGGAAGACAACATGCTGGACAAAGCTGAGCCTTACCTTTACACCGATACCCTTGTTTGATCACTCCCCAGAGCTGTGAGACAAAGAGGAGATGGTTAGAATGTGCTCCATGTCCATCATCTTACCTGGTATGAACCTAGACACTAAGATCCATTCTTTTATTGTTCTGCATTCTTTACCTCAAGTGGAAGGGAAACCTCATTTAGCTCTCATGTGTCTTTATCCCTCCTGGTCTTAAACTGAAAACAGGAAAAGTTTGTGCCAATCAGAGTTAAGTGTTCAAGAAGCTTATTATTACAGTGGATTTATGACCCAGGTCTGAAGTGGATAGATCACGGGACAAATAGGATTCTTGAGACTCTAAACTAAACGGCAAGAATATAGAATCCTGAGGTCAGGGGATAAGTTTAGGAGGAAACTGTTGGCCAGGGATGGGGCAGCCACCCAGATGTCTTCTTTTGAAGGGGGAAAGATGTCTCATATTTCTATTTTCTAACATCTAAAACAGCATATCGATATAATACTTAAAAAGTACAGCCTCAATTTAACATTTTCCTTACGATTTTGAGGCCCCAACTACCAGAGAGAAAAGTAAGTCAGGAAGAAATGGGACAAGATGAGTGAAGAGTAAAATCCACACATTTAAGAACAAGGTTACCATAGGTGTTTCCTCAGACTCTAGGCTGAGACGAGTTGGTAAAATGTATGTGAGGTCTGTGTCTGGTTAATCTCTTAAACTATCTCATACTCCTCCCCAAGTTCAACCCTGAAGCACTCTTAAGAACAACTCACAAATCCAGCACAGTTGTCACAGAAAGTGGGCTTCAGGTAGGTGGTCTCTTGGAAGTTGTGAGGAAAACCCAGGCCCAACTTGGAGTAGATGGAGCTGGCCCTCATGAAGTAGGCTGTGATCTCGTCTCTGCTGATGAGGCCTTCCCTGCCAGCAAATGAGAGATGAGGTGTGAGTGGGGCTGGGTCACGAGGCTCCTTTTAGCCTTAGAAACTCACTCTCTTTGTATCCTTGATGGGTAGTACAGTATGTATTACCTGACAGTTACTTCCAGCAGCCCTCCTCTTAATAAGGATGTGTGAGTTGCATGTAATTAGGTAAGATGACACTACTTATCTCCACAGTTACTCTTTGGCTAAACCAGGTTCTCCTAACTAATTTAACTGCTCTCCATTAAGACTTTAAAAAGAAGTGGTGGAAATGTGGGTATAGGGAGACAAATACCTTATGCTGTAGTTTCTGGCTTTAGACAGTACATCTACATAACTGGAGCCCACCAATCAAACGTTTGGTTTCACACAGAGAACCACCCACACAGAACGTATGTAATCTTGAGAAAAGTAAATATGCACAATATTAATAAATATTATGGTTCTCATGATCTGTAAGGAAAGCAAGAAGGGATTTAAACTTTTTCTTACTTTTGTTTTGAGTTTTGAGTTGACTGTTCCTAAACCAGCAGTTATGGAATCTTCAACTCAGGCATTTAAAAAAGCATGCATTTTCTCATGGTCCATTGTGGTCCAAACTGAAGCCAGACAGGCATTTGCTTGATGATGCTTAGTTCCAAAATTCATTCAGTGACCACAGTAGCATATGTAAACATATCTGAGTTTACAGATTCTTCTAGCAGAACATCCATGAGGCATTCTCATCACCAGGCTCATAACCACATATTCCCATGCATCAACTCTCACCTGTCTTTGTCCATCACACAGAAGGAAAATGGAAAACTTGCAGCAATCTTTTCAAATTCTTCCTGGGAAATGTATCCATCCTGGTCATGATCATAGTTCTTGAAGACAGACTGTGGAAAAAGGTGTTTCTTTGGTGATTACCAAGAGAGAAATCAATCATAGCCAAATGACGAAGGGGCTGGAACACCTGAAAAAAGCCTCTCCTCAGTCCTGAGTGACAGGAACAAGGAAACCTGCTCCTTAAGCTGCTGCAGAGACTCAGCAGGTCATATCCCAGGTCTTTGCAGGCACCAGCATCTGGAGGGTGGCTAGGTGCTTTCAATTCCATTAGTACGTCAATAGCCCCTGCCCCAGCTCACTGTGCCCATAGTGAACCACCCTGAAGGATGTTCCCCCCTCCACTCTGCCCTTCACTGCACAGCTCAGACTGCAGTGTAGCTTTTAACAGCCTAGTCCAAAGTGCTCCCATCACTTGCTGGCTTGTACTTTTCTTGTTACACTGGAATAGTCCACAGGATAATTACAGTAATATGAAGGCATGTAGCACAGTGAATTGAATCAAGCAGTGCCAAACTTTTAAAATTCTCCGTATAACCTTTAACTTAAAGCTTTTCTAACCCCTCTCTGCCTGAAAATCAACTGACAGCCTTTAAATGTATGCTCTCTTGCTAGGCTTTTAAGAGGTACACTTCCCTCCATGAGGCCGAAGTGTGTTGGCAAAATGTAACTTCTGAACTGTTCTGCAGCCACAATAGGAGAAGTGGTTCCCCTTGCTCATAGTAGGAAAGTTTCAAATTCCTTACCCTTTTTGTTTCTACCGCTGTACTCCCCTATCCCCACACACAGAACTAAACCATGCAGTACCTTACTTTTTGCCTGCATGGGAACGTGGCTGTACTTACATCCACCATCCTCTGGACGTGTTTGCTTATGGTCTTTGGATCAGGTTTGGGAGATACTCCAGAGGCCCAGTCCACTACTACTGGTGGCTTTGAAGGTGTTAGTGGCTAAAATGAAATATTTAGAGAAATCCCAGTAACTATAATGCAGTCTTATAACCTACAGCTCTTTCTTTTCCCATTACCTGGTAGTTGCATCTATGGATAACCCTCAACTATTATGCAGTAGCAGGGAGCAAAGGGCCCACGTGTAACTGAAATCTAGAATAGTGTTCTCTCCATTAAACTTTTTGTTGAAGCTATTGACAGAGTAAAGTAGTAGTTCATTTAGATTTCCTCCCTGTAAAGCAACTAGAGAAAGAACAAAAAAATAAAATTGATAAACCTTTAACCTTTAGCCAGACTCATCAAGGAAAAAAGAAGAGAGGGCTCAAATCAATAAAGTTAGAAATGAAAAGGGAGAAGTTACAACTGACACCATAGAAATACAAAGAATCATAAGAGACCAGTACAAACAACTATATGTCAATAAAATGGACAACCTAAAAGAAATGGACAAATTCTTTGATACAGTCTTCCAAGATTGAACTAGGAAGAAATAGGAAACATGAGCAGACCAATCACAAGTAGTAAAATTGAAATGGTGATTTAAAAAACTTCCAACAGACAAAAGTCTAGGACCAGATGTCTTCACAGGTAAATTCTATCAAACATTTAGAAAAGAGAGAACACGTATCCTTTTAAGGCTCTTCTAAAAAATTGCAGAGGAAGGAAGACTCCCAAGCTCAATCTATGAGGTCACCATCACCCTGATACCAAAACCAGACAAAGATACCACACACACACAAACATTACAGGTCAATATCGAATACAGATGCAAAAATCCTAGATGAAATACTGAGTTGGCCAAAAAGTTCACTTCCATAACATTTTATGGAAAGATACAAACTTTTTGGCCAACCCAATACTAGCAAACCAAATCCAACAATATAGTAAAAGGATCATACAGCATGATCAAGTAGGATTTATAGCAGCAATACAAACATTCTCAAGTATCCACAAATCACTCTATGATACATCATGTTAACTGAAGAATAAAAACCATATGATCATCTCAACAGATGCAGAAAAGGCTTTCAACAAAATTCAACACCCATTTCTCATAAACTCTCCAGAAAGTGGGCATAGGAACTTACCTCAACATAATAAAGGTCATTTATGACAAATGCACAGCTAACATCATTTTCACTCATTGGTGAAAAGCTGAAAGCATTCCCTCTAAGATCAGGAACAAGACAAGGTTGTTCACTGTCACCACATTTATTCAACATAGTTATGGAAGTCCTTGCCATGGCAATCAGAGAAGAAAAAGAGAAAAAAATCCAAATTGGAAAATCAGTAAAACTATCACTGCAGAGTACATGACACTATACATAGAACATCCTAAAGATTCTACCAGAAAACTAGAGGTGGTCAATGAATTTGGTAAAGTTTCAGAGTACAAAAATCTCTTGCATTCCTATACACTAATAATGAAAGATCACAAAGAGAAATTAGGAAAACAATAACCATTTACCATTGCATCAAAGAGTAAAATACCTAAGTATAGACCTACCTAAGGAGACAAAAGACCTGTATGCCAAAAACTGTAAGATGCTGATGAAAGAAACTGAAGATGACACAAACAGATGGAAAGATACGCCGTATTCTTCCAGTGACTACCCAAGGAACCTACAGGTTCAACACAACCCCTACCAAGTTACCCATGACATTCTTCACAGAGCTAGAACAAATAGCTTTAAAATTTGCATGAAAATACAAAAAATCCCAAATAGCCAAAGCAATCCTGAGAAAGAAAAACTGAACTGCAGGAATTGGGCTCCTTGACGTTAGGCTATACCACAAAAGCAACAGTAACCAAAACAGTATGGTACTGGTGCACAAACAGAACTATAGATCAATGAAACAAAGCCCAGGAATAAACGCACACAATTATGGTCAATTAATCTATGTCAAAGGAGGCAAGAATATATGGAGAAAGAAAGAATAATGGAGAAAAGAGTCTTTTCAGTAGGTAATGCTGGGAAAACTGGATAGCTACATGTAAGAGAATGAAATTAGAACATTCTCTAACACCATACACAAAAATAAAGTCAAAATGGATCAAAAACCTACATGTAACTCCAGATTCTGTAGAACTCCTAGAGGGAAACATAGGCAGAATACTCTTAACATAAATCACAGCAATATCTTTTGATCCACCTCCAACAGTAATGAAGATAAAAACAAATGAGACCTAATTAAACTTAAAAACTTCTTCACAGCAAGGCAACCACAAAACAACCAAAAGACAACTGAGAAAATGGAGAAAATATTTACAACAAAGTGACAAGGGATTAATCTCCAAATATACAAACAACTCTGCAGCTCTCTGTAAAAACAAACCTTTTATATTTATATAAAATATAAAAGGCAGAAGATTTAAGTAGATAGTTCTCCAAAGAAGACAGAGATGGGCAAAAAGCACATGGAAAGATATTCAACATCACTTATCAGAGAAATTCAAATCAAGAGTACTTTGACGTTATCACCTCACACTGGTCAGAATGGCCATCATCAAAAAGTCTACCAATGACAAATGCTGAAGAGGGTGGGGAGAAAAGGGCGCCCTCCTACACTGCTGGTGGGAGTGTAAATTGGTACAGTCATGGAGAATAGTACAGATATTCCTTTAAAAAACTATAAAGAGAACCACTAAATGATCCAGCAATCCCACTCCTGGGCATGTATCTGGAGAAAACCATACTTTGAAATGATATATGCACCCCAGTGTTGACTGCAGCACTGTTTGCAATAGCTAAGACATGGAGACAACCTAAATATCCACGAACAGATGAATGGATGCAGAGAAACAACTGATGTGAGGATGCTTTATAATCAACGGGAGGGCAAGGTTACTCCAGCCCACCATGCTATAGCCAGTAAACCACTGGCTGATTCTCCCACTTCTGACACTCATGGCATGTTGTTGTTTACTGTTCACATATGAGTCTTACCCCCTTGAGTACTGTGCAGGTTCTTTATGGTCAGGAACTATTCTCATATGTACTGAAGTTTTCCTTATTCCTAGCACAATGTTAGGCACATAATAGAAACATAATATGCTTCTTAAACTGAACGAAAGTCTGTTCCAAGATTAATGACCTTGATGAGCAACTTGTAAAGCACCTGTTACATGTGGGAGGCTTAATATGAAAAACTCACTGGGGCTTTGTGATTCCTGGGTTCCCGGGCATAGGAAAGTTCATAGATTTCATCTTCAGTGTAGTAGAGATCTAGGGATAACTGCCAAGTAAAGCAGAACAGAGTTAATTGCTAGGGTGCTGTTTGCCAGTGCTGCTTCCCTGGGGTTCCCTCTTCCAGGCTGTAAGTTACTTTACTTGCTGTTAAAAATTCACAAAGTTTTGGGGATATAACATCTACTACTGGAGTAGGGCAAGCATTAGTTCTTTAAAATGTTTTTAAATTTGGAGAAGTTTCTTTTAAACTATAGTTAAACAGCTAAGCTTCTGTGTAGAGCTTAGACCAAAGGCCTTATCTGTCAGACAGTCCACACCTCAGGTGTTCTCTCCCAAAGCAGACTGAAAGGACAGTTTTCATGGCCAGATACTATTAAAACTTGATTCCAGCAACAATTCCATTTAAGTGACATTATCAAATGATATTAAGAGTTTTATAATATCTCAGAACTTTAAAATTTTAGAGGACAGCAGTCTTAGAAATAATCTTCTTAACCTGATTCTATGGATGGGCTTCAGGGGGTTAAGAACTCAAAAACATGCATATTTTTTTGAGTGCAGTTTATGTATGTTTTGGGTAGAAGAATGTTCACTGCTTTCCTCACAAAATTTGTAATCCAAGAAAATTAAGATTCAGAGCCTCTTTTCTCAGATGTTACTGTCTTAAGGATGAGACCAGCCAGTCACCTGGCCAATTAGTAAAAAGGCTGGGATTAGATACCAGCTAAATGCAAAGCCTGAGGAACTATCAGAATAGTCCCCTCAGGTAGGAAGAGGCTACAGTGATTATTCCATGCTGCAAAAAGAAAAAAAAAGGCGCATTAAAAATTGTACAATTTTAGTACTGAAAGAGAAGTGAGAAGTCCTCACAGAGATGAACCCCTCTGATTTCACAGAGAAGGAAACAGTTCTGTGCTCACAGTCGCGCAACTGGTGAACTCCAAAACCACAGTCTGGAAGGGAGTTCATCTGCTCTCATAGCACACCCAAAGGGCACAGCCTGGTTTCCCGCACCACAACAAGTGCGCGCCCACCCTGGGCTTGAATGTCTCTGAATCTAAGCCAGTGGTGGCAGGACCCAAATAATGGACCTGTTTTTGTTTTTTTAACTCACTGCCATTCCCCCCCCCCATTTTTTTTAATGAAAACCCACTGTCTCCATCTCTTACCAAGTCTTGTATCCTGATTTGCTATCAGCTCCTCCCAGAGAGCTTAGGACTGGCTTTTCTACGAGGAAGGGAATACTCCTAGAAGTTCAAGGAGCACAGCCCTGGAGTCCCACCACCTGGATCTCAGACCAGGCTCTGCTGCTTAATAACGTGCAGCCTCTGCCAAGTTATGTATTTCTGCCTCTGAATCCCCATCCATAAAATGGATGTAATGACAGTATCCACTTCAGAGTTTCGTGAGGCTTCACTGAGCTGGTATCTGATAAGGAAGTGCTAGTAACCTGTCTCCCATGGAGCCTCACCGTCAGCAGATGCACCAGGTCCTTGTTGGCCTCCAGGGGTGGGGCCACCTCCTGCAGCTGGACTAACTCATTGATGTGACTGTACAGGGCCAGCAGCTTGGGGACGTTGACCTTCCCCTCCTCCAGGTAGTCGGGCATGGCTTCGTACAGGGAGATGAGGTCCTTGAGGTGCACCCCCAGGATGGGGATCTTGAAGTCGGTGCACTCCCCATAAGCACGCCGGTAGTTGTCATAGTTTCTGCAGGAGGACAGCAGCTCAGTCATCTCACCTAGAACCTACAAAACAGAAGAGGGGAGCTGGTCACAGGGACCCTCCAGGCGGGCTCTGTTGTCTGCAGCGGCCACCTGTTTACTCTCAGCCCCTTCTATGATCACCTGGCCCCTGATGAGTCAGGCATGGGGCGAGCCATCTCAAGGGGCAGGTTCTGACTCTCCAGTGACAGCTCCAACTTACATGTCACAGAGCAGACTTACCAAGGGCAAGGTGTACTTTACTTCATAGCTGGAAAATTCTAAGTAAGGTTTTAATATTTTTATGCTAAAGTTGTTCTTTTAAAAAATAAGTGATACAAGCACATGATAAAATGATTTTTTTAAGGTACAGGATTATACAGTGCATGGCAAGTGTCCCTCTGAACGCCGTCTGCAGTCCCTTTCCCTTGTGTCTTCCAGAGACAAGTGAAGTGTGCTGCCCACAGCTGGCACAGGGAAGGGTGTGTTTCCAGTGTGGCACGTCAGTCGTCTATCGAGTGTTCGTATGTCTTATGCTGGGCTCTGTGGGCCTTCACTCAGCGAGTCTCAGGATGGGCCTATGTCCAGGAAGCGGGCGACAGTCCACTCACAGACTGAAACCCTGGACAGGGCGACTGAACAGAATAGACCAATTCCTGGCAAAGGACCAGACAGGGATGAGGCAGAGGCCTGGGGACTCTGCACTAGAGCCTGTGCTCTGCTGTGGCCGAAGGGTGCTAGGCAAGGGTGCAGCCACATCTGCTGCTCCTTCTGACACACCTGCTTCAAGTCAGCATGTGGTTCACAGGAGCCCATCCCCATGTGTAGTGACCAGCTTTCTCAGAAGCAAAGACGGGAAGAAGAGACTCCCTGCCAATCATGTCACAACACAAAATAACAATTTTAAACGCTGTGCTGGAAATTCCTGTCATAAAATTGTGGCCTAAGAGGCACCGTTTCTCCCTGATGAAGTTACTTGAGGTCTGAGAGTCAGCCTCCCACAGTCACAAGGCTGCAAGAGAGCACACACCTGAGCAAATAGGGCTGGGGAGTGTGGAGTCGGGGAAAGGCTCACAAGATGAGAGATGAGCAGCAAAGATTTAGAGAACTTTTTGTTCCCCTTAGAAACTGAAATAAACTATTGGGGGACACTAGCTTTAACCCTGGACTTAGGAATTCACTCTGCAGACCACCCTGAAGGTCCAGCAGCACTGCAGAGGAGCAAGCTTGTCAATATGACACGAAGGCACATTAGTCTCTGTGATTCTCTCCCTGTGTCACCTCTGTGATGCAGGCGGTCTCTTCAGTTGTTCTGCCTGGTCTCAGTCAGCACGATCAAGACACTACAAGGTGATCAGACCACTGGAAGGTGTGGGTGGAGCAGCATCCTCCAACCCCAGTGTTGTGAGAGCAGGGATGGTTAATAAGAGACTTCCTGAAAGACGGGTGAACACCTGGGAAAAGCAGATGGGGCAACGAGGCTAAGATATCTCCTCCCTAAGAAGAGAGCCTCCTTCTGTGTCAGCCTGGAGGTGGGGGCTGGGGTTTTGAGTTTAGTAAGAAAGGCCAGATGAAATGAAATACTCAGAGCAGTCATCATCAAACCCATATCATATATAGCTGCATTTATATCTGCACTATATCATAATGGTTTATATGTATAATAATAGTCCTGTATCATAAAGGATTAAAGTATCTATAAAATCTAATGTAGCGAAGTACATAGGACACTTAAGAATAGTATTTCTCAATAAAATACCACCTATTACAAAATCGTACCTGAGAAGCTTATTTACAACTATCTGGGAAAATTCAACTTTCCAGAATGTCACTCTCCAAGGTGTCTGGCTAGTTAGATTTCTAACGTGTTAATATATAACCTCACTGACATGCAAACTGAACTATGGTCACTGAACCACCACTATTCCTTGCTCAAGCAATGGAGTCAGTACTAAAATGGTGGCTCTGGACACTCAGTGGCCAATGAGCATGGAAAAGAGGCACATATTGTTCCAAATCACCAGTGGGAATGGGGGCAGCAACACTGGCCAGACTGACTCAGTCACCTGCAAATCTGTGACGTCCCCACCCTGTGGGTTTTCTTAAGGGGTTCTCTCCTGGGTATTTTGCCTGGTTAGAAAAGGGATGGCGTGGCTTGGAAATGCCCTCTGGGTTGCCCCTCAAGGAGGAAATGCTGACACTGGTCCTAGGAATGCTGCTGAAGGGCCCTAGAGGAGACCGGAGCACTGACCTTATTGATTTCATGCGGAACATGTGAACTTGTCTCCTTGAGCCTGGAAATAGAGCTGTGACATAGCCCTCCAATCACCGCCATCAACGTATTGAAGTTCTGCAGCTGATGGAGCTTCTGTGACACAGAAAACAGATGCTAGCAGAGTCACTGTATATGTCAGTTGCGTGGGAGCTTGAGGCTGTCTCTTGTCTCTGTGCTATGAGTATTCCTAATTCTGGCCAAAGGCTAGTGATCAGGTATTGCAGTTTTCCAAACATTTCTTTTCTCAGGCTTATACCAGACCAGTAGACCCCAAATCTAGCAAAGCATCCCATCTTCTTCCTTTCATTTCAGCTGGTCTGTAGACCACTCTCTACATCAGTGGTTTCTAAGAAACACCCAAAGTACTTGTTTAACACAAAGATTCTGGACCCAAGTCCTGATGTTTAGATTCCCTGGATCTGGGGCTGAGCTTTAGGGATCTATGATTTTAACGTATCTTTAGTTAATATCAGAGCAAGTGGTCCATGTACCACACTTTAAGGAACACTGGTCTAGAACATCTAAAACTAGAAAAATATATCATTCAGTATAATCTTTTATATTCTTTACCCCAAAGTAACCAGACTGTTTTATTTTTGCGGGCAACACCATGGCTTAAAATAAGACTATAACTACCTGAGATACAGTGCTAGAATCTCTGTGAAATTTCAGATATGTGTTCATAGTATCTGCTTTTCTCTCATGAAATGCTTAAAACCTACTCCTCAAACACTAAACCTAGCCATTCAACATAACTTGGGCTCACAGACCTAAATCACGCTGGCCCAGCTATACTGAAATCTGAATTACCTTTTCCTTTGCTAAGTGGACCACAATAGGTAAAACAAAGTTGGCTGGTAAGCATCTTCTGAAACGTGTTAAAGATTTAAACAGAACTAAAGCTGTACCCTGACTCTGAAGATCGCCTACATGGCCCTCTCCATCCTGATCTCCTGTGGGATGTAGAAAAGTCATCATACTGAGATCTGAGGACAGGTGAAGGTGCACAAACCCCACCAGGAGATTCATGAGGGTAAAGCAGCTCTCATGGACAGACTAGGCTGAGGGGAGAGGGAGTCATTTACCTGGTATTACCAGGCCTCAAGTCTTCATCCAGTCACTCACCTGAGCCACCTGGATGAACTTGATGAAGACTTCAGCTCGGAGCTGGGGGGTGGGGCGGCTGAGAACCATCAGCTGTACCCACTGGGAGATGCCGTTGCACAGAGCAATGGACCGCTCCATGGTGGGGTTCTCCTTCACGCAACTATTCACAAGGTAATTCTGATAATCAGAGAACTGGAGAAAAAGAAACTCATCAGGACTGTGCTCCAGCATTCTTGGAGACCCGAGGGGCATGCTACCTCTACTGAGCTGATGACCAGAAGCTGCTGAGGGACAGAGGAGCTCTTGGGTCTCCTCTCCTTTCCTGCCGACAAGGATGGCAGGAAGGATATCTTACTTATTCCACCCACAGCATGCCCCTCTACATCAGAAGCAATCAGGCATAAATGGATGTGTACACATACTAGTTAACCCAAATATTATGCTGAGCAGATATGGACAGGATCTCATTTAAACTCTAAAGAGTACAGTATAGAAGAAAAATCCCAGTACCAGTTCCAGCTCTGCTGCTGAAGGGGAAAAACAAAGATAATCTCACAAAATCTATTATGTCACTCTCTCTCTCTCTCTCTCTCCAACGAAGCTCTGTTCGCTTCAATGGCAGCAGAGTTCTCTTGCATGGAGCTGCTGTTCTTTGGTATCACATAGAGAGTTTGAAGGAGCAAGGTCTCGGTGAGCAGAGTTTATCTCTAGGATCAGGGGTGACTATGGGGCCATGTCAGCAGCACTTCATGAGTTTAGGTAAATTCTGAACTAGACCAGTAGCATCTGATTTATTTTGAAATTCCCCCCAGCCATCCAAAGCCTATTCTAGAATGAATTCAAACTCTTACCAGGACTTATCCTCATTTGGGGGGAGGAAAATTTTAAAGAAAACTCTGAAAGACAATCATTAATCAGGGGTAGATGTGTGTGTGTGTGCGTGCACACACCACATGTCTTGTGTGTACACTCATGTGCACAAGGCATCGTGTGTGCACAGTACTATCACCTGAGCGAGTAGTGGGGAGGGGGAGGCGGACTTGGAGGATGGAGCGGGGAGCAGAGCAGGAGGAACACGGCCCGGCAGTGTGCCCTGACTTGCCCAACTACACACAGGCTGACGGAAAGCCCGCCAGCCCAGAGGGGACCTCAGGGGCAGGAGACTGGTGGCCTGTTGAATTCCTCTGCTTACTCTCAGAGCTGTCTCAGGGCAGCTTTTCTCCAGCCCCTTGGGTACCTACCGATATCCTCCGGAAGGACTTGAACTCCAGGTAAGTGAGGTGCTCAGACAGTTCTTCTGGCTCCAGATGGTCAAAGAGCAGGGAGACTTTCCGCTTCTTGCTGGTGTTCGATTTTATCCGTTGAGTCAGTTTCCTGGACCAGTCACGGGCATTGCTTTTGTGAGTGAAAGTGAAAAGGGAGAAGACAGGGGGAAAAGAATAAATCAAAACTGCTTTTCTAATGCAAGTAAATCCATGAACGTTTCTCACAAGAATATGCAAAGCACCATTAGCTAACTTTCTGGGGCCAAAACAATGCATTAACAGTGTCCTTTAAGCAGCTTTTCCTGTGGTGACAGCTAGGAAGCCTTGATGGTTCCCATGAGCCTTCTGAATGTGCTGTGGGAACTGGGTAAAATGTGTTGATCTTAAGGAAGTGGGAAGGACACAGCCCTGGTCACGGTGTCCTGGCCTTCAAGTGCTGGCCCCTCTGTGTAGCCCTGTCACATATGTTCTCTCCATGTCTACCGTGTGTTCCTTCATCTCATGAGGGTGATGGGGATTCTATCTGGTTGGAAATCTCAAGATTTGGGGGCAGTTTCCACGCCAGAAGGGCACAGAGGGGAGGTGCCATGCTGGGGAATCATGTGTAGGAACACGAGGTCCCTCTGGGCAGACTTGTGGCATTTTCCTCAAGTGTCCCCAGGAACTGAAATGACCAAGGAAGCCTAGCTAACTCTAGAGTTGGCCCCACACACATTTTCTTGTAATCAATCCACATATTTCTTTTTCAATTTCCTTCACTAAGGAAGCAAAGAGAAAGATAGCAGGTTGCAGACTGTGTTTCCCAAACGGGAATTCCTGAGAACCTTGTCTCTTGACAAAAGGGTTCTGTGGTCAAACGAGTTTGGGAAATGCTACAAATTCTGCAGCCCCCTTAGCCAAAGAGCATTATTACAGACTCTGAGATGCATCGCAAAAAGGGAAGTTCAGTTCACTATTTCTCAAGTATATCTTGTCAGGCCACATCCCACTGACTCATTCCTAAAGAACATACTGTGGAAAATACTGGTAGAGGAAAGTCAGCTAGGGGTGTACTGGGACAAGGAAGTCAGGGTTTCCAGACTGTCCCAGGTCCTGTGTGCTGCATTTTAAAAAATGAAGATGCTGCTATTGCAAAACCTTTTATGTTTCATGCTGTTACAGTTTTAAGGAAAGAAGTTCAGAGAGTCCAACCTGTGAAGGAGATTTAAGTGGGACTCTGGCACGTGATTTGGAAATCACTTCTATGTGGCCGTGGCACAAGACACTAGGGACTCTCACAGTCCAGCTTCTGCTCTGTCATTAACTTGACTAGCTCTGTATCCCCAGACGAGCCAGTCTTGCTGAGCCTCAGTTTCCCAAGATAAAAGCATCTTTAAAATATATTTCAGCACTAGAATTCTATGTCCTAGGGATCTGTATTATTCTAAACTAAAGCAACCACATTATGAAAGCCTTAGCAGACAACGAGTGTACTCTCCTCCCCCGAAATTAGGACAGACATTCATTTTTTCAGACTGGGACCATCTCATAAATAAGAAATCCCAAGGAACAATATGAAATATTCCTGAGTACTTTTCCACCTCTGCACAGATCTCTTGCAGTGTCTCTTGCAGATGTCCATGTATGTTATAAACCGTCTGTGGGATCCATTTTTCAGCAGTGCCTTCTGTATTTGTAAGTTCAGGGTGCCTCCAGGCATTGGCTGCTGAAGAAGCACCAATTTAGTCACTGCACTTTCAGTTTCTTGGGATTTGTATAACTTTTAATCAGCGTCTTGCTACCTGATTTCTTTTGCACTGAGACTTTTTTTCCTGCTCTCAGATAGAAGCCACATACAGCATTATCACCAGGGACTTCTCTGCTTTCCTGGTACAAGGCAACCTTTTCTCTTTGGTAAAGCCACTGAACCTGCCTGAAGGCTTCTTGGGTCACAGCGGGACACAGCAGAGGTCACAGCAGCACACAGAGGCTTGCTGAGCAGCCTGGGTTGTATTACAGGAGGGAGGTGGTTTCCAAAGACAGGGCACTCACATTTGTGTTGTGTCAATCAGGCGGCGGTGGAGGTCCTCGCCGTTTGCTTTCACCAGTTCCTGAAACTCCTCCATGGTGCTTGCCAAGCTGGTATCCATCTTAAACATGATCCAGAATTCTGTTATCCAGTACCTGCACGGTGGGAGTCACAAAACATAAGCCAAAACTGAAGCCAAGGACTCACATTTTGGTAGGTTCTTCCCACGAGAAGGACTCAGAAAAAGACAGGGGCTGATTTGTCCTATATTCCTGGAAATACTGACTATATACTTCTCTGTACAGAATATAAGGAGCTGGAGTGGGGGTAGGGGGCAGAGAAGAAAACCACCCACTGACAATCATCTGTGGGCCCTCACACCTGCCCATATCAAATGCTATGCTATGCTAAAGTGAATCATAATCTGAGAAGCCATGACAAAAGATTTTGGCACAACCACATGTGGCTTTTTCATTTCACCCCACCCCACAAAGTCCCAAATGTATGCAGAAATGTTACCTTACAAAATAGCAGATCTTCAGGCAAAGCCCTGGTGAATTCTTTGCCAAGGCATCCTTATAGGTAGGGTTGTGGTTAAGGAAAATGGAAGCCTCTGTTATAAAAACCAAGCAACTTCTTATCTTTGGAAGATTTGCTAAAACTGCCCTTCCCCAGCCCTCCTAAAATTTTCTTTTAATTAAAATGTTTTCTTACGTCTCTGGACCTAGGATAAAACCAACTTGATGGATGTAGCTATATGCTTATTATCACCTAGAAGGGCGAAGACTGTGACTTTATCTAGCCCATGCTGAAGTGGCTTATAGAAGAATGCCACAGCATCTCCTCTACAGAAGGAGGAAGTCACTAGCACAGCAAGGCCCCAGGAAAATGATCTGTAAGAAGTGAAGAGGGGCCTCTGCCCACATCCAAGACTAGGAGTCTAGTCTGCCAGAGAAAACAAGCTAAAAAGAAGAGACCCTTTTCTTTCCAGCAACTGATTTAAAACAAAAAACACCCTATGCAGTGAATTAGAAGAAAAGCAAGGAATAAATATTCAGATACATTATAATAATAATTCATGCAATAATAGGAAAATGATCATATATGCATAGAGGGTGTCAGCAGACTGATCTTACAGGTTGTAATGGCAGGTCAGAAAAAGTCATGTGAATGACCCAAATACAGTTGGAGAGCATGTGAAGGATCAATATCATTGGGAATATTCCACAAGAATGATGCCATCCTAAGAACATGAAAGAACAGCAAAGGTCCACCAAGGTCACATGTCTCTAGCGATGTATGGAAAGAACACACGTTTATTGCAAAGGTCAAAGAAACGCAAAATCCAATCCAGTGATGAAGCTGTGTGGTTGTACTCTGTTTTGTCAACATACTGAGGAATACTATGCGGGCCGTGTGCTATACAAGCCACTGCCCTCTTTCTCCTCTTAAAAACCACCCAGAACTCTGTGAATTCCAGCAGGTCTCTGAGAGGACTCCACTGATCAGCCAGCAGATGTCTCAACCGGGGCTGAGCAGTCTTCATTCACTGGGTATGCATGTTTTAACCCCTGCAAAACACAGGTGTAGATATAGTAAAGTAAAAGACAGTCCAAAGCTTATTACTGACTTTTTTTTTTTAATTAGGAAGCAGTCTGTGTATTTTGAAATCTTACATATTGTACTATTAAGAGCATATTAGAATGATATGCTGTGAAACTTCTATTTGGAATATATAATTAAGGCTTTACACTTAAATTTTAAATTCAAACCTTACTAAGTTTATGCATAGCTTTGAAACACCTAAGATGTCAGCTTTACTGTTTACAGTTTTAATCTACTGAAGTTACAAGCCTGTTTAGAATTCAAAAAGGTCCTTGAAATAGTTTAAAAATCTAAAATATAAAATTCATAATTATATATATACATATCAATAATTACTTTAAATGTAAATGGTATAAATGTTTCAAACAAAAGACACAGAGTGGCTGAATGAACACAAAAGCAAGATCCACATATATGCTGCCTACAGGAGACACACTTCAGAATCAGACTGAAAGTGAGGGGATGAAAAAAGGTGTTCCATGCAAATGGAAATTAAAAGAAAGCCATGGTAGTGATACTTATATTAAACTTGAAAATGAAGACTGTAACAAGAGACAGGAGGACATTACAGAGTAACCAAGGGGTCAATCCAAGAAGAGGATATAATAATTATAAACATATATGCACCAAACATAAGAGCACCTAAACATACACAGAAAATGTTAACAGACACAAAGCAAGAAACTGACAATAAAACAATAGTAATAGGGGACTTTAACACCCTTATATCAATGAAAATCATCCAACAAAAAAATCAGTAAGGAAACACTGGCCTTAAGTGAAACATTAGCCTAGATGTGCTAAGATATATAGAGAATATTCCATGCAAAAGCAGAATACATACAGTTTTCAAGTGCAAATGGAACATTCCCCAGGATAGATCACAGGCTAGGCCACAAAATGAATCTCAGTAAATTTAAGAAAACTGAAAACATACCCAGCATTTTTTCTGACCACAATGCTGTAAGATTAGAAATCAGCTATAGGGGGAAAATAAAAAAACCACTCAAAAATCACAAATGTGTGGAGACTAAATAATATGCTACTACACAACCAATGGATCACTGAAGAAATTAAGGAACAAATCAAAAAATACCTGGAGACAAAATCTATGGGATGCAGCAAAAGCAGTTCCCAGAAGGAAGTTTATAGTGACACAAGCTCATCTTAGGAAACAAACAAACAAAAATCTCAAATAAATTACCTAACCTTAAACCTAAACGAAAAAGAGAAAAACAAACACAACCCAGTTAGTAGAAGGAAAGAAATTATAAAGATCAGCAGAAATAAATGAAACAGACTAAAAACAATAGGAAAGATCAATGAAACTAAGAGCTGTTTTTTTGCAAAGATAAATTGGTAAACCTTTCTAGACTCTTAAAAAAAATGGAGAGGGCCCAAATCAATAAAATCAGAGATGAAAAAGAAATTACAACAAGCACAAGAGAAATGCAAAAGATCATAAGAGATTACTACTACATGACAATAAAATTGACAACTTAGAAGAAATGTACAAATTCTGAGAAATGTACAATTTCCCAGGACAGAATCAAGAAGAAATAGAAAATATGAGCCGACCAATTACCAATAAAACTGAATCAGTAATTTAAAACAATACAATGAACAAAAGTTCAGAACCAGATGGCTTTACAGGTGAATTCTATCAAATATTTAAAAAAGAGTGAACACCTATCCTTCTCAAATATTCTAAAAAATTCCAGAGGAAGGAATACTTCCTAACTCATTCTATGAGGTCAGCACCACCTTGACACCAAAATCAAAGAGTTCACAGAAAAAGAAAATTACAGGCCAACATCACTGATAAAAATATGATGAACACAGATGAAAAAAAATCCTCAACAAACATTAGAAAATCAAATTCAACAGTATACTAAAAGAATTATATATGATGATTAATGTGAATTTATCCAGTGGGTGCAAGGATAATTCAATCTCCACTAATCAGTCAGTGGGATATACCCTATTGACAAATTGAAGAATAAAAATCATATGATCATCTCAATGGATGCAGAAAAAATATTTGAGAAAATTCAACATCCTTTTATGATAAAAACTCTCCACAATGTGAGTAATGAAGGAACATACCTCAACATATATGCCATATATGACAAGTCCGTAGCTAACATCATAATCAATGGCTGAAGAATTTAAAGCATTTCCTCTAAGATCAGGAACAAGACAAAAGATGCTCACTCTCACCACTTTTATTCAACATGGTATTAGAATCCAGCCACAGCAATCAGACAGTAAGAAGAAATAAAGTCAACTTGGAAAGGAAGAATTTAAAACTGTCACTGTTTGAAGATGACACAATACTATACATAGAAAAGCCTAAAGATGCCACCAAAAACTACTAAAGCTCATCAATAAATTTGGTAAAGGTGCAGGATACAAAATTAATATAGAGAAATCTGTTGAATTTCTATATACTAACAAGGAACTATCAGAAAGAGAAATTAAGAAAATATCATTTACAATCACATCAAAAATGAATAAAATACCTAGGAATAAATCTAACTATAGAGGTAAAAGACTCATACTCAGAAAACTTTAAGACACTGATGAAGAAAATTGAAGATGACAGATGGAAAGGGATACTTATGTTCATGGATTAGAAGAATGTTGTTATGATGACCATACTACCCAAGTCAGCCTGCAGATTCAATGTAATCCTTATCAAAATACAAATGGCATTTTTCACAGAATTAAAACAAATAATTCTAGAATTTCTATGGAAACACAAAAGACCCTGAACAGCCCAAACAATCCTGAGAAAGAACAACACAGGGGAGTTATCATGCTCCCTGACTTCAGACATACTACAAAGCTACAGTCATCAAAACAGTATAGTATTGGTATAAAAACAAACATGTAAATCAATGGAACAGAAGAGAGAACCCAGAAAATAACTTTGAAACTTACTGTCAATTAATCTAAAACAAAGGAAGCAGTAATATACAATGGAGAAAAGACAGTCTCTTCAATAGATGTTACTGGGGAAACTGGACAGCTCCATGTGAAAGCATCACACTGCACAAAAGCAGTCACACCATGCACAAAAATAAATTCAATACTGATTAAGAACTTAAAGGCCCCCAAAACCATAGAACCTATAGAGAAAAACATAGGAAGTATGCTCTTTGGATATGTCTCCTCAGGCAAGGAAAACAAAAGCAAAAATAAACTAGTGGGATTATATCAAACTAAAAAGCTTTTGCAAAATGAAGGAAGCTATCAACAAAAAGAAAAGGCCACCTACTAAATGATGGAAATATTTGCAAACAATATGTCCAATAAAGGGTTAATATCCAAAATATACAAATAACACGTACAACATTAAAAAACCTGATTAACAAACAGGCAGAGGATCTGAATAGACATTTTTCCAAGAAGACATACAAATGGCCAACAGGCACATGAGCAGATGCTCAGCATCATTAATCATCAGGAAAGTGCAAACCAGAACCACAAAGAGATCAACTCATACCTGTCAGAATGGCTATTATAAAAAAGACGGCAGATGACTGTTGCTGAAGATGTGTAGAAAACGAAACCCTTGTGCCCTGCTAGTAAGAATACAAATTGGTGCAGCCACTATGGAAAACAGTAAATAGGTTCCTTAAAAAATTAAAAATAGAACTCCTGGGTATTTATCTGAAGAGAACAAAAACATTAATGAGAAGAGATATATGGAGCCCTGTGTTCAATGAAGCATTATTTACAATAGCAAAAGTATGGAAGTAAACTAAGTGTTCATCAAGAGACGAATGAATGAAGAATACTTGGTGTACACAAACACACAATGGAATATTACCCAGCCATAAGAAAGAACAAGATTTTACCATTTGCAACAACATGGATGGACCCAGAGGGCACACACTAAGTGAAAACAGTCAGAAAGAAAAATACTGTACTTCATTTATACAAGGGATCTAAAAACACTAAACAAACGAATATAATGAAAACAGTTATGTGTACAGAGAACAAACAGGTGTTTGCCAGAGGGGAGGAAAGAAATAAGTGAAGGAGATTAAGAGGTACAAACTTTCATTTGTAAAAATAAATGAGTCATGGGTATGAAATGCAGTGTATGGGGAATACAGTCAATAATTATATAGTATCTTTGTATGATGAGATGTCATAACTAGACTTATTGTGGTGATCATTTTGAAATGTATGTGTGTGTGTTAGTTGCATCGTATCCAACTCTTCTAGACTCCAGGGACTATAGCCTGCAAGGCTCCTCTATCCATAGAATTCTCAAGGCAAGAATACTGGAGTGGGTTGCCATTCTCTTCTCCAGGGGATCTTCCTGACCCAGGAATTGAACTCACATTTCCTGCATTGCAGGTGGGTGCTTTACCATCTGAGCCATATCAAATCACTGTTATGTGACAGGAACTAACATAATGTCATAGGTCAATGATACTTCAAAAACAAACAAATAAACAAACAAAGAAAAAGAAATCAGATTTGTGGTTACCAGAGGTAGGCGGTGGAAAAAGGGGAGAATGTATGAAGGCAGTCAAAAGGTACAAACTTCCTGTTGTAAGACAAATAAGTACTAGAGATGTAATGTACAACATGATAAATATAATTAACACTGCTCTATAGTCTACGTGAAAGTTGCTAAGAGGATAAACTCTAAGTTATCATCACAATAAAACTTTTATCTATTTTCAATTTTGTGTCTATTTTCAATTTTGTATTTTGAGATGATAGATGTTCACTAAACTTGCGAATCATGCTTCAAACCTTAAACTTTTATAGTGCTTTAAGTCAACTTTATCTTAAAAAAAGAAACCTGGAATAAAAAATAAAATCCAAGTTGCAGTTTAAAACCATTGCAAGTATTTAATTAATGGCATTATTTTAATTAACCAAACATTTTTAAAGGTCCCGTACAAGTGCTTAGAGGGACACTCTAGACCTACGGAAAGAACAAGAAGATTTGCAAGCTAAACTTGGACCCCTAAAGAAAAACTATGACTGTGAAATTTGTACTTTTCATAAAATGAGTTTAACGTAAAAAAACCTAACTTTTGATAGACTTACTGTTTATAAACTCTATCCTTAAGGGCATGGAAACCAAACAGAAACATGAAACATAAAACCACCCACACAAACACACATCAACAAAGGTAATCGATATAAAAAATAAGCCCAGGTCAATCTCCTGAAGTGAATGGGTGCACAGGGCCTGCTGCAGCGTGTGCGGCAGGGTCTGTGAACCCCGTCGCTCCCCATCTGAGGGCCAAGCCTGTGGGCACACAGAACATCACTCAGGAGGGCAGAGCCTCCCAAGATCGCAAAGACCGCGCCACATGGGGGCCACCTGAGCGAGGCAGGCCCTGCGTCTCACTTGAGGAGATGAAGCAAGCAGCAGCACGTGCAGGCCGGGACCGAGGCTCAGGCGTCTGCAGGGGCGGCCGTCACTGTTCGCTGGAAGCTTCAGGTGCCACACCTTCATAGGCAGTGCTGTGGCAACAAAGTACCAGCACAGTGCTGACTGTACTTTTCAGGTATCCAACTATTCAAGGCACGTTGTTACATTCTTCTCTCTCAACCATGGGAAAACACCAATAAAAACTGTGTTCTCCACGGACTAATTTGTACCTGGGGTACCCGTCTTGTCACCCCACTGGGTACCTGCCCCCACTGTGGACCCAGAGTCCTCCTCCCCGCCATCCTCCCTTCCAATAAAAAGAACCCACTCCAGCCTGGTGTGTTGAGAAGCTTGGCATGGAGGGGAGAGGGCTTCTGAGAGAGCTGAGGACGGGGCAGGCAGGGCACACTGCGTCAGTTGAGGGGCTACCATCCCCCTCCACCTGCAGAGGCTCTGAAGCATGGTCTCCTTCACTTAGGGAAGTAAGTGCAGGGCTGGACGACAAAGGAGGAGCTGGCTGTGCAGATGAGCAGCCCTGTACGGGACAGAGACCAAGGAGAGAGTCTCTGGGGCCCGGACGAAGGCAGAGGCATGGGAATGGAACGGAGAGAAGAGCTAAGAGTCATTTCTGAAGCAGGAACCCTGGGATTAGGTGACTGGCTCTGTGGGAGTGAAAGGCAGAGAGGATTATGAGGGCTTTGATGTTGCTGCTCTAGGCCATCAGATGGGCAATGACACCATGAACTGAAATTGAAAATGAAAATACAGGTGTCAAAGCAGAACTAACGGGGCAGTAGGAGTGGAGGTGGTGAGTTAGGTTTTGAGTATATTAAGACTGAAGTGTCTACAGGACAAAGTAGTCCAAACATTTCTTAAAAAAAATGGTTTGATTTACAGAAATATGGACTTGAAGGTCATCAGAGGAATGGTGGTGAGAAATCACCCAGGGAAAGTACACAGAGAAGAAAGCCAGGATGCTGTCCCATTTTGAAGTGGTTCCCAAAGAAAAGGCTGGATGGAGAGCTGGAGGCGGGTGTCCCAGGAGAAGGGAGATCCAGGAAGGTGCAGTCCAGAGCCCTGGAAGGAGTCTGGAGAGGTGGGGTGCGGTCAACAGTGCTTCTACAGGGAGGTCGCTATAAACAAGGATGGAAAATAAGCTGCTGGGCTTGACAACCAGGAGGTCACTGGTGACATCAGAGGAAAGTCTGAGTACAGGGGTGGAGGCCACAGTCGGGTGAAGGAGTAAGTGGGAGTTGAGAGATGGGAGATAGTGAGCATGGACTATTTTAAGAAGTTTGTGCATCACATTTCTAACCCTAACAACGGAATGAAGGGGAGGCAGGGTTGAGAGTTTATTTTTAGGTTAGGGAGATGTGAATGAGTTTTAGACTGAGGGGCAGGTGCCACTGAAGATGCAGGGTTTAAAAGGACAGGAAAGAGGGGAGATAACCTATAGAGAAAGATTCTGCAAAAGTGGAAGGGAGGATGGCAGGGAAGAGGACTCTGGGTCCACAGTGGGGGCAGGTACCCAGTGGGGTGACAAGACGGGTACCCCAGGTACAAATTTGTCCTTGGAGAACACAGTTTTTTCTTTGAGTATTTAATTACTGACACTATTGAGAACTGCTGGTACATGGAGTTCTCCTATGGCTTTAGAACACTCTGTAGATTAGACATCCATTTATTACCTGTACCTTTCATCACGTGGACGCCTCCCAAGGCCACTGAAAACACCTTCTTCTCTGAGTGTTTATAAGGAGACTTAGGGAATAGATTCAGTCCTGATGGCTTTTGAGCTTCTGTTGCGTGCCGTGAGATGAAAAGGGAAGGCTGGGGAGAGCGGTAAAGGGTTAGAGGAGCTACACAGCGTGACTCAGTGCCCAGGACCTGGGCTTCAAGGTGCTAAACGGTCTCACCCCACCTACAGCCCACGGGGTCATCAGGCATCAGAAAGACAGAGAAAGCAGTGCCACCCCACTCAATTTACACCCCAAAGAAGGTCAGAATCCAGCAGGGTTTGCTTGGCGCAGTCAGTGCCTCCTTCTAAAGCAGAAAGGCACCAGCTGCCCTGGTGTCAGGAAGCTCTCTTCAAAACCTGGGAAGGTTGAAGAATTAGACAGGAAAGCCAGAATGCAGCACCCTTGTCAATCTGCATGCGATGAATATGAATTTTGATTAATTTACAGGAAAAGTATTTTTCCCTAGCAAGAGTGAATGAAGAACACTGTGTCTGCATGTTGATCTCTTTGACCTCTTCCCAGAAAAATCAGCATCAATAACTCTGCCTTGTCCAACAGAAGACACAAACATACACACAACACATACCCATAGACACGCATGCCATTCCCTGAAAGGACACGTGAACCCACTAACCACTCAGGGTCATGCCACACCAACCAAAATGAAAGCATCATTCAAATTTCAAGATGCTTCTGAATCAATCCTATTTGCGGACTGCCGCCAGGCACTGTGCTAAAGGATATAGAGTGATAACTTTTTGGAGCAGTTCAGCAGAGGAAATGAGAATTCGGTGCATGGTCAGCATGACTTGCAACAGCTGGTTACTTCGACACAGGTTTCCGTCTGCATCTGAAAACACAAAGAGCAGCATCTGAGCAAGGCCCCCGAGAGGAATTAGCTACCTGACGCACACCTGCCAACTCCCATCACTCAGGGGGGAGACCAGAGGCACAGTGCCTCCTCCATGGCCTTTGGCACTGCACACCCCTCCCTTCTTTGCTTTTCTTATCCTCTTGCTGCATACTCCCCTTCCCCAAATGCCTGTTTTGGTGCTCATTCATCACCCAGCCAGAAGGTGGTAGGATCGTGGGGAAGTGGTACCATCTGAATAGGTACAGGTGAGTCTGTTGAAAGCAGGAGCAGATCCAGGTTTCGTGGCTCCCAAAGGGCATATGGTGGGGGGAGGGAGAAGTCCCTTCTAGGATCCCAGTGAAACGAGTTATAGTCTTAATAGATCACAGTGAAAATACCTTGCTTTTGTAAACTGCACAAAAACATATGACCATATGAATACATTTCTAGGGCTGGCCCATGATCTTGGAAGGACTCATGCCAGTGAGGGGACCTAAAATTCAAGTCTCCCTAGTTTCACGGGCAATGCGTCTCTGGATGGGCATAAAGGAGGAGGACTATGGGCAAATGTGACTTTGGAAGATTATGGGTGGGTTTACAAGTACCTATGATGATCTGTATCAAAGACCATGGTTAGCTTCTTAATTGGGTTTCCAAATCCCACTGGTACCAGATAACAAGATTTTTTCCATACACTGGCAATAGGTATAAAGATTCCCCCTAGAGCGGTTTTCAAAATCTTTTAACACTTGTGGCAGAAAGTGTTAGGGGCTGGTTGTTCACAGACATCTATTCTCTGTCTTTGACCATGGACTGCATCAACAGATTCCCTTGCCAGTTAGTTTACAGTTGGGTTCAGCCATTGGGAAGCATCAGCAAGAGACGGAAGGAGAGGGAAGTCAGGATATTTTTCTCCTTCCCTCTCTGCTTTGGTACCACTTTCCTGACAGCTGCTACAGGTCTTTTTGATAAATGATTGCACTGCTTGGCCCCTCTTTCAGGGCTCCAGCTCTCACTGGGGTCTAAAACTATTCCTTCTCCCTTGACTCTTTAATCCTAAGGATGGTAGCAACCTTTAGCTGTTGACAGTCTCTGGGTATCTGGGTACAGTATCTCAACTCCACTCTCTGTAAGTAGTAACCCTTCATTAAAGTGTCTTCACTTAAACCATGTGAATTCTGTTCCCTCTTGGGAACTTTAATGATTCAGTGGAAAATATCAAATTAAAGAATATACATGAATTGTTTTTTTTTTTAATCATTTTTGCTCCTTAAAGCACATTATACAAAAGGGGTCGTCACTTTCATTCTTTCTAAGTGTACCAAATCGTAAATGAAGGACACAGTCCATCGGGGCTCAGAATTCGGAAGTCCTGGCTCATCCTCAAATGATGACCTAAAGTCATAGTTCATTAACTACTTGCAGAAACGTAAGGAACCCTGACGAGATCACTCCCCTTCCCCTCACCAACTCCACCAGTTCACCTGCATTCTGTTGCTCTTACTTCTTGCCTTCCTCTGTTACCATGGGAAGCACTTCAGAAGCCAGTGCCTCCACTGAGCTCTGAGGGTCTTTTTCTTGAGGACAGTGACAGCATCTTTGTCCACTTTCTCTCCTCCAATATCAACTTTTCTCTCTCCTGGTTTACTTCCACTGGCATTCAAATATGCACCAGAACCTCCTATTTAAAACAAAATGAAGTAAAGCGAAACCTGAAACCCTTGTCCTCTCTAGCCACCTCTCAGTTTTGCTCCCCCTTTCAGTAAAACTTCACTGGCATCTATGTCTCCTCTCCCATCCCCTTTCAACCATTCCATTTTTAACTTCTACGTCCATTATCCCACTAAATCTTTTATTTTCAAGGCCACTGATCAGGTCCACATTGCTAGATCCAAGAGTTCATTCCTCTGTCCTCATCTTTATGACTCAAGCTGCATTCAACCCAACCCAGCTCAAGCTGACAAACTCTCTCCTCCTTCCCGGAACACTTTCTCCTCTTGGCCTCCTCAGCATCACACTCGCTCAGCTTCTCTCTGTGGCTCTTGTTCTGTCTCCTAATCCTTTGCTGAGCTCTTAAATGTCACCATGCTGTGGCTTAGTCCTCCCACTTCTTTTTCTTTTCTAACAATTTTTAAAAGTTAAAACTTAAGTTTTAACTTTAAAAAATTAATTTATTTCATCTAGGCAGGGAAATTCATCTATAGTCCTTTGGGCTAAAATACCACTGATATGCTCGTGACTGCCCAACAGACATCTTCAGCCTTACTTGGTGAATCCATATTGATGTCTAATTTCAGGCTTCACTCGTCCAAGCAAAATTCTTGACCTCTCCCTCCTCCAGTTCACGTCTCTTCCATTCTTCCTCATCTCAGGAAATGGCACCACAGTCACCCTTTCACTTACCCAAACAGAAAACCTAGGGGTTACCCTTTATTTCTCATTTTTCCTCCTATCCAATCCATTAGTGAGCCTTGATTCTACTTTCAAAATATGTCTCAAACCTCTCCATGTTCCCCCATCCTTGCCACCATTCTAGTTGTAATCATCACCATGGAGACCTATTTGACCTCCCTGTTTTCATTCTTATCCACCTAAACACCATCTGTTTTCCACGAAGCAGCCATGAGTGAACTCCTAAAACCCACAAATCAGGGCATGTGTTTCAGTGGAGCCCATTACACTTGAAATAAAGTAGTCACCGACTACAGACTATAGCCCACAGACCTCTCCATTCTGGTTCCTTTCAGTCTTCCACTTCATTTCATACCATATTACTCTCCTCCATACTCCTGTCTATACCACAAATGCTCCAAGCTTATTCCTACTTTGCATGTGTTCTTTCCTTCAATGTGGCCTTTCTTCCTGTGGACCATTCACGTCATTTATGTCTCAGTTTCAATGTCACGTCCTCAGAATGGTGGTCCTTAAACTACCTCCGTAGCCATGATCCTGCCTGAGTTTCTTCATAGCACTTACCAATGATCTGAAGTTATTTTTTACGTGTTTAATTTTCATTTTCTGAGTCTCCACTAGAATATAAGCTTCATGAGATCTGACCTTGTCTGTTTTTTCCACAACCGTATCTCTAGGGTCCAGAACAGTGCTGATACATGCAGTTACTCATTAAACACTTACAGAGTAAGTGAGTGAACTATACCAAATAGGAGACCCCTTAACTTTTCATGTTTCTTTGGATAGTGTGTTTGCTATTTTCATTAGCTATTTAATTAATGATATTTAATTGTTGTTGTTATTCAGTTGCTAAGTTGTGTTCAACTCTTTTGCAACCCCAAGGACTGTAGTTCACCAGGCTCCTCTGTCCATGGGATTTCCCAGGCAAGAATACTGGAGTGGGTTGCCATTTCCTTCTCCAGGGAATACACCCAACCCAGAGATCTAACCCGCTTCTCCTGCTTAACAGGCAGAATTCTTTACCACTGAGCCACCTGGGAATCCCCAATGATATATAATATATACACTTATTTTCTTCTTGGCCACAGCTTATAAAGTTACAATTAACAAAGTTATAACTTGATAACTCATTTTTAAGAAGTATTTATCTAGCCTGTTATAGTTTTGTAAATCTTTCATTACTTATTCTAAACTTACACTCTGGTGAGAGAGGGTTAGTACTGCTAGCTCTGTTTTCTGGCCCACATAATTTCTGTAATATATATCTCCTGCCACACAAATTCTGTAAAACAAAACATCCCAAAATTCAGTGACTGAAAACAGTGATCTTTTATTTTCTCAAGTGTCTGTTAAGTTGGCGAGCAGCTGGCTGATATTGGCTGGGCTTTGCTGGGGCTCCTCCTCTACATGCCCCCAGCTTCCTTGGACCAGCGGGCTAGCCATGGTGTGTTTTCATGGTGATGGCAGGGCACTGTAGGGTAACTGGAACTATCCAAGGCCTCTTACCCGAGGCTTGGAACAAGCATGCTGTCACTTCCACTTTATTCTGTTGGTCAAAGAAAGTCACTGCTGAACCTCAAGGCAAAGGACAGGAACCTCGAAGTCACATGGAAAAGACCACTGACATGGAGAAGGTAAAAAACTGGAGGAGGGGACAATAACAATCCATTCTACCACAATTATGGGGATGTAAGTTTTCAATTCAGAATCTGACAATATAGTTTTTATAAGGCACCTCTCCTCACAGAAGCAGTAGTATTCCTACCTCCAAACATTATGGCACAAAGCAGGAGAATCTGAAATATATTTGTAGGGTATGCATCAGAATGTTCATAGGAATCACGGACACAATTGCAGACATACTCAGTATGGACAGAATCTAAAACCGGTTATCTCAACTGTTCTTTGTGGTTGGCAAGCATCTTTCCAAGGATGCTCACATATTAGGGAAAGGGGCTTAGAAGTGTCCTGAGTGAGACCAAAACCAAGTCACATACAGAAAGATACAGGGACCCAAACAGGATTATTATGGAGAAGACTCAGGAGCGATATTAAAATTATCTTCAAATATTTGTAATGTTATGTATAGGAGAAGGTTTAGACTTCTTCTGTAGGGCCACAAACCATGGAACCAGAGAGGATGACTAGAAAAAGTGATAGGAAAAAGAACTGGGCAGAACAGGTGGTAGAAACAATTCCAATCCTTACGCCTGCCCAGCAGTGGGACCATTCCCATCACAGATGCATTCAAGAGGAGGCGGGCCAGGACATTTAATCACATTATCGCAATTGGCTAGCAGCTGCTATTTACTGAAATGAAAGTAAAAGCGTTAGTCACTCACTTGTGTCCAACTCTCTGCGACACCATGGACTGTATGCACTGCAGCCTGCCAGGCTTCTCTGTTCATGGGATTCTCCAGGCAAGAATACTGGAGTGAGTTGCTATTGCCTTCTCCAGGGGACCTTCTCGACCCAGAGATTGATCCTGGGTCCCCTGCATTACAGGCAGATACTTTACTGTCTGAGTCCTGAAGTCCTACTCAATACCAGGGACTCTGCTAAGTACTTTAATAATTTTACTTCTA